TCTCCTTTCTATTTTATTTTTATTTTGTTTCTTCTTTCACTAGTTGACTAGTTAAATTTTGGTTTTATTTATAATTTAAACTATTCTACGGAGTACAGAGTACTCATGTACATGTATGTACTGGTGTACGGAGTACTCTCTGTACTCCGTACCACATACTCCATCCCTAGGTGAAAAACAATAGACCAAATGCCCCCCTAATGAAGGACCGTGACTGGTTGAGATCTACAAAGTAGCCCGAGATACCTAGGAATTCCTGTTTCTCTTTTTTTCCTTTTTCTTTTTCTTTTTTCTCTTTCAATTTGTAATTCATTTCTTTTCATTCCATCTTGTGTTTATGTTTTGGATTTTAGGTATTACATACTACTTAACCACTACTATGGATGTAGTTACTACTAGTACTCTGTACATATATAGTAGTATAGTAATATATATGGTAACACCCGAACCTAATAAATTGGCTCCACTAGTGAAACATTTCAATTTTTAATACGGAGTAGACCTCTTAACTATATATAATATTAGCAAGAGTATGTTGGATACATATATATCGGGTAGATGTAGATTCATTCCCACATTCTTAGGCACATAACAATACATTTAAAAGGCTTAATACTTTTCGGGGTGGTATGCCCCAACTCCACTATAGGTGTTTGAATGTCGGTACATCCCATAATAGAACATTTGAACCCTGGAAAGTCCTCGCCTACAGTCTGCCATTTGATTGTCTCATTTACACCGAGTTCTACTAGTTTTGCTCTGTCATTCGATCTACTAGGAGTATGAAGTTCCAAGGTTGTACTCCCAAGTCACCCGGCCTTTGGTAATCTCAGACATTGCCCCAATCTAACATCTTGCGTATGTACTTTGTAGATTGCCCAGCTGGCCAAGTCAGCCTATTATTGTCATTCCAAAAGGTTAAACTTTAAGAGTTGTGCTGACATTCAGCTTCACACATACTCCAGTTGCTAGTAACTGCGCCCCAGTCGTACAATATATATATATACAACATACATATATATATTAATTTCTCTTATTTACTTCCCCTTGTCTTCCCGTAATATAATAAGATTTCAGTGACTTCCTAAAATCCTCCTCGTAAAAGGATGGATGTTTCAAGGTTAGAGATTAATTAGCCCGCTAACCTTATTTGTAAATAGAATATGCTCATCTTACAAACAAGACAAATCAAGCAAATGAGACAAACAGAAACAAATCCAAACAAAGAATCCAAATCTCTCGCACCTGGGCAATCTTGGAAGATTAATGATCCGGACAAGTCCAGACCTGCAGGTACAATGTCCACTGTCCACTTATTTCCCTCACATCTAAGTAAGGTGAACATGGGATGAAACAATTTGATATATATTTTTTTACTATTAAAAAGCTGTAATGTCTAACGTTTTTGAGTATCTATATTTTTTCTAACATATTCTCTATACTATGTATACTTAGGACTACGACATACACAAAATAAAATAATATAAAGTACATTGTGTACCTGACTACCCCGTATCTTACCCGTGGAACCTCTAGGCCCGTGACCAACCTTGGAAGGCCCCCAATTAATAATTATCCTGTCTCTCCTTCGACTTGACATACCATACCTTCTTCTTCTTCTTCTTCTTCTCTCTCTCTCTATCTCTCTCCTCCCGATCTACCTGTCCTCTCCCACATTGATCTTTCGATCGGCTGTGGTTTGTGAGTCGATTTTCTCTCATACGCGCGTCGGGCCTACGTCGACAAATCAAGCCCCCCTATCCCCACCGTCTCTGACATATACAATCTCTGTCAAGTGCCTGGACCATTCCAAGGACAATGATCATCGCTTAACCATCACATTTCGATCTTTATCTCACACACGACACTCGTTTCCTGCCACGTCCATTCGGCTTTGATGATCAACTGTTTACGCTCACGACTTGACGCCGATTGAGCATCTTACACTCCTTTTTCCTTGTTTTATCCTGCAAATTTCTTTGCCGTTGACCGGCCCGATCGATCTTACCTCGTCTTTTTGTGTCATATTCTCTATTTTTTCTCGCTCATCATGCTTCTGGAACCCATCGATTCCGCCTTCTCCCCCGCCCACTCCCTCTTCAAGCGCTGCAAGCAATGTGAAACCTCATACCCCGCTTGTCCTTCATGTCCCGATGGATCGATATGTAGCATGACCGCCCCGAGTTGTGATGAATGTGCGACCGCAAAGTGCGTTTCAACAGGCTCCCACTCCTCGGACTCCGGGGGTTCCGACACTGGCGCTATCGCCGGTGGTGTTGTTGGTGGTGTGGCTGCCATTGCCCTCATTGTGTTCTTGGTATGGTGGTTCGTCATCCGAAAGAAGCGCCTGGAGCGCCAAGAGGCGGAGAAGAACAGTTCATTCACGGCGAATCGCAGTGAACGCCAATCCATCGCCTCTACAGTTCTAACCCGTGCCTCCAATGTCATTCAAATCGCCTACATTCCTGGTGTCACCAACCGCTCCCCACCGGAGACCCCGTCCACCCTCATGCCTCCTGTTCCGCCGCTTCCTGGTGCGACACCCGATCAACACTTCTTTATGCCGGGTGACCTACGTGACTCGTCATGGACAACCACCACCGGCCATCAGAGTATCTCTCCCACTTTGCGCAGCAGTGTGGCTACCACCATCTACCGGAACGATGCCATCGTCAGTGCTATTCCTGCACAGCAGATACAACGGTCTCGTGCAGCCGTGGTGAGCATCCACAACGGCGGAGGCGGACAGAATGCCCCTGGAGACGACTCACCAGTTGCTATCACGGTTACTCCTGCGGATGCACCTGCAGTTCCAGCGATTACCCCAGCGCAACTCGCTCGGGCGGAGGCTGTCAAGGGCAATAGTTCATGTGTGGCTCGCAGTGTAACAGCCAAGCCCGTGATGGTGCGTGGTCCTTCGGTGAAGAACAAGCAAACCAATAACGCACGCACTGTCGACCGGATCGAGGAGCTGTCTGAGCATAGTAAAAGCAACAACACAAGCCGGGCGGCGTCAACCACAAACAACGAACAGTTCAACCATAACACCTCCACATTTGACGGGTCCTCGTCAGGCGAAGAAGAGACATATCCACCATCCACTGTCAACCTGGAAACCGATTCCTCGCATAGCCAGATCGATGTACGTCGAACTTCCGGCTTGAGCGACGGACGTGGCTCTATTCGGACGCCACCCACCCGGGGAGAAAGTCCATTTTCAGATGCCAATGAGGTGAAATGAGCAGTTTTGAGACCAACTGGGCGCAACGGTTTTCTATTTTTGTGATTTCCAACTCTGTTTTCTTTGTATGTATGGAGCCTGCCGCGGCTTTTTGTACCTTTCCGATACGTTGAATCCCTTCCTCGAGTGCCTTGTACAGCGAGTGTTGGCACACTGAGATGGGACTGTCGATTGAATGTATACTCTCATTGATTATCATTTTAGAGTATGCATATTCTCATATTCGTACTGCCATAGGAACATGGTGTGTCACACACTTCCCTATGGCTTCTTTCAACAGACTACGATGTCTCTATTGCAAATTTGCCAACAAAAAAAATCGAAACAGATGAAATGTTTACGAGTGCAAATTTGCACAGTAGGTTCCCAATCGCTTGAGGTGGGTGAGTCTATCAATATCCTTCCTTATATCTTCCCTCGATATCAATTGAGTCCACACTATGTAGATCAACCGAACAAGACTGGCTGTTTATTTATATTCCCATAAGGATGAGGGAAATACCCTTTGAACTGCTTTCAAAGTCAGTGTTGGTGTCTTTAGCTCATAGATGAGGGATGTTGCGGCTTATGTTCTTTTGACATCAAAACACTCTTCTCACACTTCCCATTTATATACTTGAGATTCTTACTATAGGAATTCACTTCTCTTATATTTTTTTCCTTTGCTTTTTCCCGATGTTTTGTGCTATATATATATATATATCTCTCTCTCTCTCTTTACGTTTACCGTGTTACTTGTTGTGTCGTATGTAAAGAACTACAGATGTACACAAAGTTGAAAATAAAGCTAGCCTTTATATAACATGCTTATAACTCTTGATAGTTAGTGTTTGGAAAGTAGTTGGCCTAGTTTACTAGGCATATAATGTCAGATCTATCTATGTTACTATATAGTTACAGATGTACATATGTAGTCATCGAATATGACCCCCCGGGTCGATGGACAACAAACAGCAGGTCACATGGAATCATAAAGCAACATTGCCACATAGTCCCTATATACAGAATTCTAACTCGTTCTCCCATGCATTCCATCTGAGAAAGAGCAAACACTTCATTGCTAGACTCACAGTGAGTATTCTCTGGCAAACCAAAGTTCAGGCTATCAACAGCTAGAATTGGGACTGCAAGGGCCAAAGTTACAACTAGCATGGAGGTAGGTGACAAACTCATGATAAATGAAGTGCTTTGTGGCCGGTATTTTCTTTGGAGCGAGCCTTGGAGAACTAATGACATCAAAACCAATTAGCCCTGATACCTGTATAGCGAATACAGCCACATGGGCATTTCCAACTCACCTCCCCATGAGAGTCAATATGTCAAATTGCCTGCTATTTGGAAAGAACTGACTCCGTTTCTCGCAACAAACCAGCCTCGAGAGGTATCCTCTGCTTTCGAGTCACAATATCAGAGGTCCTGCAGCTCTGGGCTTAGGCGATCACAAATACTTGGCAGAGTTTTCTTTCAACGAAAGAGACTATCTAATAGATCGTTAGTATCTGTGCTTATTTGCTAAATGGCATATGGGCCTGGAAGGCAGCGCTGGAAGGAAATTGGGAATTGTTTGGTTTGGTATCGAACGACTTCGTACGCAATTCCCCGCTAGATGTCGGTGAAAGTAAAAAGAGAAGGAACCATGAATCGCTACAAGAAAAGAAGAGAGACTCTCACATCGTCTAGCTATTTTATAACATGGGAAAAAAAGAAAGGGTATCTATAACCAGAAATCTCTAGTCAATGATGCTCAACATCCGGTAATTCATGGCACACTCTCATCCAACCCCATTCCACGTCCTATTTTACGAATCAGTGCCCGCTTGAGAAGAGCTTCACGTGCAAGACTTCGTGTATGCCTTGACCAGGAATCAACACCAATAACACCGCGGACTAGCGCAGCCTGCAACGCATAAAGAGCTTGTTGTATGCCTTGTTCCTCGGCGACCAGATCATATAGTTGTTTCCCTACCACGGTGGGGGCGACCAGGACGTCATCGATTGGGGGCAGGCCGGATGGAGTGTCTCCAGGAGTGCTAGAAGTGGAGACGGATGTAGAGCGGGCCTGTGCGTCTGCGATAGTGACATCCGCGCGATGGATGGATTGCTGTAGGACAGTAGTGTTGGACTGGAGGGTTGCGTGGAGAGTATTGAGCGCCGAGACTTCCCCCTGCAGCGTGGCCATAGCGGCATGCAGGGACCGTGATTGTGAGACGAGGGACTGGGCTGCCGTGTCGGACTGTGCAGCATTAACGCGGAGGGTTTCCGCCAAGGTCTGGGACACGGCATGAAGGAGCGCATCCTTTTCTGGATTTGGTGGGATGGGAGGCGCTGGTCCCGCGGGCGCGATTGAAGGTAGCTCGACTTCAAATGGCGAGGTTAGAAGGTCGGGAGTGTCGGCTTTGGTGGGGGCTGCAGGGGGTGGATGGGGATAATTGGATGGATATGGAGAATTTTGAGGATATGCGGGCCCAGATGGTTGTTGGCGTGGTTGATGGGGGAGTTGCGGCTGTAGAGGCAAGTGAGACCCCGCTGGGTTAGCTTGATGAGGGACCTGGTTTGATATAATAGACCCGTTTCCATGATGAATCGGCACTCCGCTGTTTCTATAATGCGATGCTTGAGCCTGCGCCGACTGGTGCGGTATTGGTTGTCCCGCTAGCTGATGGGTTGGTGGCCGTGACAAGGGACTAGGGCCGCTTATCGGTCCTCCAGTTTGAACTGGAGGCGTGTAATGCTGATATGAGTGGATTCCAGAGCTGGCCAATTGTGTGGATAAAGGTGCTTGATGAGAGCCTTGCTCTTTTGGTGGGAGTGGAGGTAGCGGAGGAGATCGATATTGGTCCACCGGCCGTTGTTGTTGCCGATGCTCACTGGTTACGCCTGGCTTCGGCGGGGGTGGAGGTGGAACCTGGCTCTGGCTCTGATTCTGGATTGCAGGCGGAGAGAGAGGTTGAGCTTGTCTCGAAGATCCTATACCGGGTGGAAGGGGAGGTAATGGCGGGGGTGTTTGGACAGCTTCCGGCTGAGGCTGTGGAACTTGTCTGTATCGGACAGGTGGCTCCTTGGCAAATACATCTTGAAGAATAGAAAGAAGATCGGCGATGTTGGATCTCTGTGAATATAATGGTCAGTAGCCTGTCGAACCATGACTTGGTTGTAAGTACTGACATCCCATGCTTCAGCCCAGTGTGCTAGATAGTGATGGTACACCTGCCCCTCCAGCGTCACATGTTGGCCAACTCGGACGACCATTTCCTGTGTCGGGGTTACGTAGGTAATTGGAGGCTCGCGTGGGTATGTGTTTGGAATCCAAAGCGAAATGGGAAATCGGTAGGTCGTTCCCCGGAAGGTGACAGGCAACGTGCCCACAAGGTGAAGAAGGAGGGCGGAGAACCCTGTTTCGTAGGCTATTCATTGTGTCAAAAACAAAAACCGTGTATAAAATGCACTTGGGCACTCACTATAGACATCTGTTCGAGGGGACAGCGAGGGGTACTGGGAGAGCGCGTTGGCAACATCATGGTAGGTCCGGTTTGGGTCACGGTATGTCTGTTGTGGATCATAGTGATCCTGAAGGATATTTAGTATATTGATAACATGGAAGTCTTGGAGAGACCAACCTTGGACAAGACACTATACAACCAATTTAGCGTCCTCTGTGGAAGCGCCATAGCTAGAGGAATTGATGTAAAAGAGTTGAGTCGCGAGGTCTCCTTTCCCCGCAACTTTCTTGGCGAAGGGCCTTTTTTGGTGTTATAAAATATTTTTGTATTTGTTGATATAATTGCTAAATTTAATATTTCTTCCAAGGTTAGCTTGAGCTATAACTACATGTAACTACACATAAGCAAGATGTGGCCGGGAAGGGGGAGTGTCAAGAACCTCACTATCTTCACCACATCACCACCTCTTAGTACTTCACCATACACTAATAAACAGTTCATTCTGGAGAAAAAAACCCCCCCCTTTACAGTTGAAGACACCAAGTCTCGAAGAGCAAGACAGATTCGCTAAATGATAGGTCGATAGGCCAAAGACCTGTCTTATATGACGCCAGGCCTCGCCATGACTCTCTCTCGAAGACGTATCCGTGCGGTCCTTGAGTCCCTGAGTCCGGGCTTCTATCCTGGAAATCCTAGACAAAGAAAAAGCTAAGTGTTCAGGAAAAGCCGAGCATTTCGACGATCTCATGCAGCCAATATCACCCCGTTGCCTAGATATGGCCACTTCTTTGTTTCATTTAATATTGTCCTTTCCATTCCCTTAGTATTGTTCTTTTTTCTAATCATAATGTACGGAGTATAGGGCCTCATAATGATCTGGGTATTATTATTATCTATTGCCTTCGCCATTGTCTGTCTCGGCTTCTATGACACTGGCCATTCACCCTGATTCTCTTGATTCTCTTGATACTATTAATCTATATTCTTCTACATCTTTTTTTTACAAGCCTTCAAAAGGCTTTTAAAAACGCACTTAGATCCTTGCCATGCATCATCCTGACCTGATCCCAGACCTATCTATGTGAACTGTTTTTCAATTCTTTCGAACTTCAAATTTTGAAGCCATGACAACGACACCACCAAGTCTCCCATTCGATCCATTCACCCAGAATCTCACCTTCCACCTACCAAATGGCGGTGATCTCCAAGTTTCAGTAAAAGCCCTGGACATCTTCGTCATGTACAATGTCCGGGTGTGCATCAATTACGGTTGCCAGTTTGGGGCCTCGTTCACCTTGCTGCTGATTCTTCTGCTTTTGACCCAATCCGACAAGCGCCGTTCGGCTGTTTTTATCATGAATGGCCTAGCGTTGTTCTTCAACAGCGGACGTCTGCTTTTTCAAGTTATCCATTTCTCCACTGGATTTGAACAAGTATACCCATTCGTGTCTGGCGACTATTCGACAGTCCCATGGACTGCGTACGCTGTTTCCATTGTGGCTGTCGTTCTCACTACCCTAGTCATCGTCTGTATCGAAGTATCACTTGTGATTCAAGTCCATGTGGTTTGCTCTACACTATCTCGTCGATACCGACATCCTATCCTGGTGTTATCTATCCTGGTCGCCCTGGTGCCAATCGGTTTTCGCAGTGCGTGGATGGTTGTGAACTGCAGTGCCATCGTTTCACTCGTCTACCTGGAAAAAATGTGGTGGATAGAAAGTGCAACCAACATATGCGTCACGATCAGTATCTGCTTCTTCTGTGTTATTTTTGTCACCAAACTCGGATTCGCCATCAAACAGCGCCGCCGACTCCGGGTGCGCGAATTCGGTCCGATGAAAGTCATCTTCGTCATGGGCTGCCAGACCATGGTTGTCCCGGCCATCTTCTCCATTATCCAATACTACATCACTGTGCCAGAACTGGCCTCCAACGTGGTGACCCTGGTCGTTATCTCACTCCCACTCTCGTCAATCTGGGCCGGCGCCGCCCTCGACCACGCACGACGTTCCGGAAGCCAAGATCATCAACGCCGACGTAATTTATGGCGGTCTCTTGTCGGTGGCGCTGAAAGTATACTGTCTCCCACAAAGGATAGTCCAACGAGCCTATCGGCCATGACTGCTGCGCAAAATCTATGCTACTCGGACCACACCGTGAGCAAGGGCTCAAACAACTCGCGGGACACTGATGCTTTCTATGGAATAGCAGTTGAACATAATATTTCGATCGATCGAGTACAAAGGAACAATTCAATGGTCTGATGGGGCACATCCCTCAGCAATTCAAAGATATCCAATTCATTTCGATGCACAGGACCCTGGCCAGAAACCGACTTTACATGTACATTGTTTTCTTCTTTTCTCTCTGCGATTGCAATACTTATGCGGGTTCAACAGCCCTTCTATCTCAATCCGCAAAGCAGATACATTCTTAATACCAAGGCACTTCATTCGTTTTACTTTTTATTTCCAGGGGCCGTATATAGTTGCAATAATCCACGTAAATCTACGGAACTCATACATAATCCACTTGAAAGATCAAAACTATGCTCTTCCATGCGAGTTTCTCATTAATACAGGTCTATATTAAGGAACTGATACTGCTATACAGTCCAAATGGAATGTAAAGAAAAGAGCCGGGTATACCCATACAGAGTGAATATGAATGAAACTCATGCAAGGAATACAACCAATTTACTTAATGCAACAACCTTCCAATGAAATTGCGATGAGTCAAGCCAGGTGAATTAACAGTAAAAAAAAAAAAGATACAAATATTTACAAGCAAAACGCTCTATGTTCAGAACCATATGTGCGCCTGGGCAAAAGGAGAGGGAAAAAAGATAGAAAGTTAATAATATCCCGGTGCTAATTCAATTGCACATAGTTGGCTATGTTAGATGTTAGCAATGCACTGTATTCAATAAAAAGACCGAAACACTCACCTGGAAACTGGCCCTCACGACCCGCAATTCGCCCAGACCACCATTCATTGGTATTTTCAGTGCGCTGGATAATCTCAATAACATCACCAGCCGAGAATCCCAGATCACCGTGGGCCTGAGCCTCGTAGTCATAGAGAGCGGTGACAGTCTCAACCGATTTACTGAGATGGGACGGCTTCGCACGTGGAAGAGGCGGGGCGGGCTTACCCTTGGCCGCGGAAGAGAAACTACCTGTTGGACTTGGCATGCCAGCAGACGAATAAGGTGGTGGAGGGTTGTCATCGGTGGCGGTTGAGCTGGAACGGCCTCGGCCGATGGAGCCCTTACTATCAGCCCCCTTACCCAGAGGGTTCAGTTTGGATCCAGAGCGGCGGACACCTTGGGTTTTGTAGTGCACGATGGTAAGGGCTTCGGCTTGCTCCTGGATATTGCCCCGCTTCTGCTCAAAGGCCTCTTCAACATCGAGTTCAAGATTGAAATAGCTGATGTTCATGCCCTGCATTCGTTCGTGGAGAGTGTAGAAGACATTGAGTTGCATATAGTAGAAGGATTGGAAGAGCGGACGGATGAACTCGGCTTCAAGGGCGAACAGCTTGGGTAGTTCGTCCTTCAGCAAATCATTGTAATAGTTGAATTCCTGGGTTGACTGCTCAACATCGTTCTCGGCTTTGTATAGTGCTTTCTCATCTTTGAGCGATTTATCCTTTTTCTCTTCCAGTTTCTTCAGTGTGGCATTGCGGCGGTCAAAGTCTAGCTTCTTGTGATCACGCTTAACCGCGACCTTCCGAATCACCTTGATTACCTCGAGCAGCTGGTCGGCAGGGCTGATAATACGGCTGTCGATCATCTCCAACTCGGGGGCCAGGGCATCTTGTAGTTCTCGGACGATGACTTCATATTCCTCGCAGGCCTGAATACCCTCGGCATTTCCTTCAAATTGATAGGATGTGGGATCGGAGGCGCGACCGGAGATGGGTTTGTAGATTTCGGCAACTGCTTTAGAGAATTCGATTTGGTGGCTCAACATGCCTGCGCACAGGGTCAGTACAGTACGTGTGTAGGGGAAATGCGGAATTGAGAGAGGATTAAAGACTCACCATTAATGGCTGAAAAGTATTTCTTAGACTCATCGTGTAGCTTCTTAGTCTCTTTCTCGAGCTCATCAAAGCGGCGTTCGGCATCACTATAGACAGCATCCTTGGTATGTTCACCGATGTTGAACTTGAGCTTGAACTGCTGTGGCGCACGCGCAATGCTCTTCTGGAAACCTTTGAAACTCATGATGCGAGAATTAAAGGAGAGAAGTAAAGAATGAGAAAGTGCCAAGGTGGGGGGGGGAGGAGGAGGAGAAGAAGGAACCCGAACCTTTTCAATAATGACATAAGACTCTGCCAGCGTTGTACGGAGCTGATGTCCATTGTGGCTGTACCCTTTTTTTATACTATTTTACACTATTTTGTACTATTTCGCACGCTACTGTTCTGCCATATGATCGTGTGGCGCATTATCTTCATTAGGCACCTGAATTATTACTATGGGGTACGGGAATACTACAATATATATTGCTCCGTTATAGTACCTCAACTCCTATCCTCTGTACGGAGTAGAGCGTATTTACTTACTACACTCATTGGAGGCCTTGAATGATTAGATACAAATGGCATCCCCGATCTCCAGAGCTGTTTCCCTTTTTCCCGGCAGCCCTACCCGAGAAAATTGTAAGAACTGTCAAATTAAAGACCCTAGTCCGATCGTCATCATTGGGCCATCATTCCTTTGTGCGGGGAGTGACTTGGCAATTGTATGAAATGTGTGAATACTATATGTCGGAAGAAATATAAATTTCGAATAATCAAACCAGAATAATCACAATTGTTATAAAATAGAGAAATGAAGATATAATATATAGTCCTGGAAGACCCGGAGAAGACTGTATGAGCTGAAAGGGGAAGCTCTCATACCTCCGTTCTGCCTCAGGCATATCGGATAAACCTAATTAGGAAAATCCCGAGATCTTTAGTCATTGAGAGGAGATGAAGATAACAAAAGTTCAGGGCTGTGCTTCCTTCTTCATCCCACTTTCAAGGATATTGTGGCACACATAATTTTTATAATGACAAGTGCCGTTCCTACTGCTTGGAGACAGGCCTCTGCCTTCTCCAGGCGCCTTTCAACCTATGGTTCCCGAGCTCCTCGAGTCCTCGCCACTGGCCTGCGCGCTCGGTCTTATGTCACCGAGACAAAAGTTGGCCAAGCTCAGGTCAACATCGAGACTGCAATCAAAGAGGAACAAAAGTCATTCATGAACAAATCCCATATGGCGCCCCAGAATGTCAAGTTACCCGGCTCGGCAACCTCCGGTGACGCCGCGATGAGCCCCTCGGCCGGCATTCTGAAGCAGGCCACCGTTATGGACCAGGGCACCCGGCCCATCTACCTCGATATGCAAGCTACCACACCTCTAGATCCCCGGGTTCTGGATACCATGCTTCCTTACCTCACCGGTATCTACGGTAACCCCCACTCGCGCACACACGCCTACGGTTGGGAGTCGGAGAAGGGAGTCGAGGAGGCTCGCGAGCATATTGCCAAGCTGATCGGGGCCGACCCCAAAGAGATCATCTTCACAAGTGGTGCGACAGAGAGTAACAACATGAGTTTGAAGGGTGTGGCCCGATTCTTTGGTCGATCCGGAAAGAAGAATCACATTATCACCACTCAAACTGAACACAAGTGTGTGCTTGACAGCTGCCGACACTTGCAAGATGAAGGGTTCGAGGTGACTTACCTGCCGGTTCAGAGCAACGGTTTGATCCGCATGTCTGATCTTGAGGCGGCCATGCGCCCTGAGACTTGCATTGTCAGTGTCATGGCTGTCAACAATGAGATCGGGGTGATCCAGCCGATGGAGGAGATTGGCCGTCTCTGCCGGTCTAAGAAAGTGTTCTTCCACACCGACGGTGCACAGGCCGTTGGAAAGATCCCATTGGATGTCAATAAGCTGAACATCGATTTGATGTCGATTTCCAGCCACAAGATCTACGGCCCCAAGGGTATTGGTGCATGCTTTGTGCGTCGTCGTCCGCGTGTCCGTCTCGACCCTCTCATCACTGGTGGTGGACAGGAAAGAGGTCTACGTAGTGGCACCTTGGCCCCTCATCTGGCAGTGGGCTTTGGTGAGGCTTGCCGAATTGCCGCCCAAGATATGGAGGTAAGCTTTCCTTTCCCATTTTCTATTTCCAATCTCCGTTATGATTACAATTATTATGTACTGCATGTGGCATATATTGGAGATCTTTGGGAAATGTGTTTTTTGGGCATAGCATCTAGCTCCAATGATGCCAACTGCAGGCATAATGATCTGGCAGGCATATGGACTTGAATATTCCTTTGTCTTTGAAAACACGGCACGCTAACTGACTGAACAGTACGATACCAAGCACATTGATCGCCTGTCGAAGCGTCTAAGCGAGGGCCTCCTTGCCATGGAACACACCACACTAAACGGCGACCCTGAGCACCACTACCCTGGCTGCGTGAACATCTCATTCGCCTACGTCGAGGGTGAATCCTTGCTGATGGCGCTGAACGACATTGCGCTATCATCGGGCAGTGCCTGTACCTCTGCATCTTTGGAGCCTAGCTACGTGCTGCGCGCTCTGGGCAGCAGCGACGAGAGTGCTCACAGCAGTATCCGTTTCGGTATCGGTCGATTCACCTCAGATGAGGAGATCGACTACGTTCTCAAGGCTGTTCAGGCTCGTGTATCTTTCTTGCGTGAATTGAGCCCGCTTTGGGAGCTGGTGCAGGAAGGAATTGATCTGAACACGATCGAATGGAGCCAGCACTGATTATTTAATTTTGATTTCTCGAGCAAAAAAAGCCCTTTAGGGACGGCGTTGAAGTGTAACAACATCGGATTTGTACAGACTGAGAATAATCACCTCACAATTAACTACTCTCTACCTTCATTTTCAAGCCCCCCGGTGCCTCGTACGTCATTGCCTCCTTCCTAATGTCGTAAAGAGCATTTGAGCAAGTTTTATAGCCTCATGTGATCAACCCTTAACCCAAAGCAACATTTAATTTGGGTTGAAAGCATTTCTCCCGGCCCCCAAACCCTCGTGGTCTGAATATGTTTCTACTCCTTGGCAAAGAAGTTAAATAATTTATCTACCGAGAGTCCATCCACAGGTTATTTAAGATGGCCTTGGCTATGGCAAGAAAAAGCACAATTTGAACCGAAAGAGCGACATGATGCATCTATTCCTCATCCTTTGCGCATTTGGAAGCAATGTGGCCGCCTTGGCTGGTGGCAGATCCCCTGAGCTTCGAGTCATGACTTCCTCTGGTTATTTGAATGGAATATATAACGATTCTGCACACACAGTACGGGCGTTCATTGGGATTCCATATGCAGAATCCCCAGTTCAAGAACTGCGATGGGCACCACCACACCCCAAATCGCTAGCCCGAACCCCCATCGATGCATCTTCCTTCAGAAGTCCCTGTCCACAAGTGTATACGTACTCCAATGAGTCTATTTGGAGTGTTCTTCCGTGTAAGATATGGAACTCTGGCGACACGTCCGAAGACTGTCTGTATATGAACATTTGGGCACCCTCTATCAAGCATCGAAGCTACAGGGGACTTCACAAAGGAGCTGTCATGATGTTCATTCATGGAGGAAGCTATAGCTCAGGGGGTAGTTCAGTTGCTTACTACGATGGCACGAATTTGGTACAGAACCACGATGTCATTGTTGTTACCTTCAAGTAAGGAAATGCTGAATTTTGACCCCTTTAAATCACTAATCTTCTGGTTAGTTATCGCCTTAATGTCTTTGGGTTTCCTAATGCTCCAGGCATCGACCCTTCCAAGCAAAACCTCGGGCTCCTGGACCAGGTAGACCTTGAACGTGTATGGGTAGCATGAATGAAATAACCGCGTATTTAGCGATTGGCAATCGAGTGGGTTCGTAATAATATAGCCAGATTTGGTGGTGATCCAAATAGGATTCTGTTTGGTCAGTCTGCTGGGGCTTCTTCAGCTGATGTCCATGCATATGCAGTGAGTAGCTCGTTTCTATATTTTCACCTAGGTATTTTTCAACTAATGCTCAAACTAACCTCCGATAGTATCCAGAGAATCCTCTCGTCAGTGCATTTGCTCTTCACTCTGGCACCGCTCCATTGCTGGCTACGGCACCTAATCATAAAAATTGGAATGAGCTACCTACTGCTCTTGGATGCGCGGGAGGCCAATCTCTCCAATGCATGAGCCAGGTTCCAACTATGAAGATTCTCGAAGCAATGGCTCAGGGGAGCAATAACTTTTACCCCATTATAGATAATCTCCTCGTCTTTTCCGACTATGCCGCTAGGGCTAAAATGGGGAAATTAGCACGATTGGTATGTATTTGACCGTGTCATTTTTTTTTTCTTTCTATATTCCTAGGTTAACCATACTTGGAACTCCAGCCAACGTTGGCAGGGATTAATGAGCGTGAAGTTTCAGCTATAGTACCGTTAAGTTTTACATCAGTCAATGAGACAGCAATCTATGAGTATGGTGAAAAGATTATATAACTGTCCCCTCTGTGAGGTAAGAACCCATGGAATTCTCATATTTTGAACTGTTGTCGAATATCCATGTAGGATTCGACTGAATGAGCATGTGCCCACTTGGAGGTATCTATACCATGGGAATTTTACCAATCTTAGCCCAACTCCATGGCTTGGAGCATACCACGGGGGTAAGCGGTAACAACCTTCTCCTTGCTGGTTTTGATTTAACATGATGATAGCTGAAATACCTATTGTTTTTGGAACCTATAATAGGTCCATGACTATCCCTTCGTCCGCTAGGGAAATTGAAGTCAGTCAATACATGCAAGGTAATCCCTTCGAAGATAAATATGCCAGGTATTGCCTAGATTGACTAATGTACTAGGAGCATGGGTTACGTTTGCTAGGAACCATTGGACGGGACTCAGCCGATATGTATGGTCAAGGTTCAGCTTCGATGGTACCTCTCTTCTTTCCCAATTCATTTTCTGAAGCTTATCATAAATGATAGAGCCAACCCTGATTAATCTCGCTCTAAATAACTCGGTGCAGGCAATATTTACTTCTGCCAATTCATGGGATAGCTATTGTGAAAGTCACATTACTCGATCTGAACTATGAGCTTGGCATATTGAATAAGAATTGTGCTACAATGCTATAGCTACCGGGGGGGGGGGGGGGGGTTTGACTAGACTCATTTGAAATGTGTTCCGTCAATTATTTCCCGAAGTTTGCATGCACAAATGTGACACATGTATCATCGAAGCTAGATATATAGTTAATGAATGTACTCTTCCGAGGCTATACACCTCGGCAGTGGCGGGACTCGGGAAATCGTCCAACGTTATACCGTTATTAGTTAAACTTGTCGGCGCAGATACACCAGGATACCGGAGGATTTATTAATCCTAAGTATGCAGTAATATTTCTTATGTAATCAGGACAGTATAAATTGCCAGGAAGTCAATACAGCAATACGGAGAGTGGAAGACCATTGATTGGACCTATACATTTCCACTATACGGAGTAGTCGGACAGTTATGAGCCCGGTTCGCACTGAATAAGACTACTATATCGGTATATAGTACCTAGCAACTTGCTAGAAACTGTCTTATAAACCTCCACGAAGCCACTCCGCAGAAAGTTATCCCTTGTTTCACATCAAAACAACACAGTATCCAGCAATAGAAACAGCATCGATTCTCTCCGCTATGAAGGGCGATAAACTAAAGGATACACCGCAATAGCTCACCTGGTTTGCGAAGGTGCAGCTATACGCAATACAAAAAAATGTCTGGGATCACTGCAACCCGGATACCCCGTTAACTGAACGACCTAATACTCTAAAGGAACCGGTATAACCAGAATATCCTGAAGAGGGCACCGAAACAGATCGAAGGAAATAGAGAGACTAAGCAGACGTGTATAAAATAAGCTATGCTCGATAGGAGAAGTAAGCAAAGGGACTGAGTGATATAAATAAATATATCCTTACCTATCTTGACCCAGTACACCACCTCGCACTGATCATATATCGTACACCGTATAATAGACTTGTGTATCTGAAGTCTCGGTTCGCTCGATCGACCGCGTATAAGGAGGAAATCCGAATAAGTTAGAAAGTGTTTGTAATACAGAAGCCGACTGGAGACATCGATAAGTAGCTCCAAAAGTGGAACTCGCTAAGGGAGTAAGCGGTTAGTCTTGGTATTAAGGACGGAGATACCAATAGGGACTTCCTGTACACCGTAAAAGAAGTTCTACCTATATAGTGGTAAGGTAAATACTAGGAAATAGTGATAGAAAAGAAGGTGTACGATACCCGAGATCTCCTTAAATTATTCCGCGCGATAAATCGCGAGATAGGAGCACAGGTGGTATTATTAACCACTCCTCCAAAAGGCGCTTTCTCGACCTAGTAAGGTCACTAAGAGGCGAAACCGGAAACAAAGCAAGAGAAGCTTCTGTTCGAGAAGAGACACTGCCCTTATAGTAGCTCACACCCGAAGTATAAAGTTACTACTTACTGGCTCCTAAACGAAGCGATTCGGCTAGAAGGGTATACCCTAAATAAAGGGAAACTAGAGAAAGCAAAGAAGAAGTTAGGAAAGGACCACGCTTAGAAGCAATAGGTAGATAAAGTGATAGCTGAAGCTCAGTAAGCTCAGTAAGCATAGGAAAAACTAGCCGAATCCGCTAACTAAGTCAGCTTTGCAACCACTTTTCGAAGTAAGCCAAGTAAAGCTATACAGATTAGTAAGTATATACTCTCTGTGGCAAAGGTAGGCGAGCCCTCCCTCCGTGACCGGTGGATTCTTGATACCGGATTAAGTGCGTATATCTGTAATAACCGAGCCCTATTCGTCGACTTCACACCTGATATAATTGACCTAATAACCGGAGATAGTACTATGTAGGTGCTAGGGAGAGGTAAAGTCAGACTTTTAGGGAGACACCCGGTAAAGGGAAGGATAGAGATCACCTTAAGCGACGCTCTATACTTACTAAGTTTCTATATAAGTCTCGTGTCGTACGCGATACTAAAGAAGAAAGGCGGCCTCTAGTACCAACGTACAAACTATATACGGGACCCAAATAATAGACCTATCGTCTGTGTAAACCTATAGGATTAATTCAATCTCTGGATCTTTAACAAGCTAGGCGAGGCTCCGCCACAACAAGTATATACTGTACAGCAAGCACAACGGAAATCAGTGAAGCCACAGGAATCAAGGGCTTCCTCTGAAATTTGGCACCGACGCCTAGTATATATTCAACCGCGGACCGTAGCAAAGCTTACTACTATAGTAGACGGCGTTGTTCTTAATAATAAAGGAGGAGTAAGCACAGAGTAAGAATCTCTATATTAGACCTATAAGACAGGAAGTGCTCCGAGGTAGATTTCAAGATAATAAGTTAGACGTACCTTTAGACGTTTTGGAAGGGTATATTTCGACCTAATTCAGCTGCAGCCAGCCTACAATAAGCACCGCTGGATATCCCACTTCTACCTAGAAGGACCGAGATTCCACTGGATCATAACTCACGAAGTGAAACCTAAATATCAATTGGCCATTAACCAGTTTGTACAACTTATAAGAAATCAGTGGAAGCTGCCAATCAAGGCCTTCCACTACGACAATAAAGCAGTAGCTGGTAGAGTGCAGAGATTGGCTTTGTAGTGGGATACCTTACCTCGAATATCTGGAAGATCTGGTTCCTATATAGTGGGAAAGTGAGGTATATCAGGGATACAGTCATTGACGAGACACAAAAATATACCCCTAATTATAAGAAATATCAGCCTATCCCACTACCAGCTATAACGGGACCATAGGAACTCACCGTTAAGGAGGTCTTATAGGTGATAAACCACCAAATTACTAGTCAAGAGGAGACTAGTACGATAGAAGAGAGGACTCAGGATCTATAGGAAGCACAGGAGCCTCAGTAAGTACAGCAGTAAGAGGAGGTTCCGCAGTAAGCAGAGGTCCAAAAGATAATAGTTAACCAACGAGGGACTACCCTAGTCTAGGGGGTGGGTGATAGGTTATATTGGCCGACCCTAGACCCTCTACCACAAGCACTACTAGGTTCCTTTCCGATTAAACAGCCCCTACCACCACTACCAATCACCCCACCGCAGGAGCAAGAGAGGTATACTGGCTCTGGTCAGGGGGTGGATACCGAGGGAGATCAAGGGGACCAGATCCAGCAAGAAGAAGCGGATCTTAAAACCACTGAAGACAAACTAGAGAAGTAACTTTAGGCAGAGCTACTGGCTCCGAGAAGAGAGATAATCGGAGATATAGATACCAGCAATATACTCAGTGGTAGGCGTAGACACTAAGTAAGGTAGGAAAAAGACTTCGCCTACGCGATAAGCACCACCCAAGAAGTAGAACCGCCGGCGCTACTCTATACTTTTGCCGCTGGCTTATACGCTGAGAAACTAGACACTCGCCGCCACCGAGACGACCTCCTACCACCGCTAAAATACTAGAAGGATATAATAAACCACCTATTTCAGGAAGGTTTTCTCGCAGCGATAAGGAAGGAGATCAACTCCCTCTCTAAAAAGGGGACTTTTAAGGTTATTAAGAAACCAAGAGACCGAGGGAAGCAGATTCTCCCTCTTTTATAGGTGTTCTTATACAAATTTGACCAGGACGGGTACCTTTTGAAGCTTAAGGCCCGTATCTGTGTGCGCGGAGACCTTAAAACTATCTCTTACGAGGAAAAGAGAGCTACTACACTAGCAGTAAGGACAGCGAGGATAATTTTTGCCTTAGTTGCTGCCTTTGATCTTAACCTAAGACAGAGAGATACTGTCACCGCGTTCCTAAACAGTAAGTTAGACTAAGAGACGTATACGTATATACCTAAGGGATTTCAAAACCTAGGTAAATACTGGAAGTTACGTCGCGCGCTATACAGTCTACAGATTTCACCACGACTTTAGTAGTAAGAAGCAGTAAGCGTACTCCGCAAGCTAGGTCTACAGTAAGTACCAGAAGACCTATACGTTTTTATAGGAAAAGGACTACTGGTTTTCTTCTATATAGATAATATCCTAATCGCCAGTTATACCAATACAAAGGCGTAGGCACAGCAATTAGAGCGAGATCTCGAAGCACACTGGGAACTGACCGATCATAGAGAAGCAGTATAGTTCCTAAATATACGAATTATTCGAGACCGGTAACAAAAGAAGCTCTAGTTATATCAAGATAGCTATATAATAAGTATTGCTACCCGATATCACTTAACAGAAAGGGCACCAGTCTATACTCCACTGCCAGTTAAGGAATTGACCCCTTTTCAGGGGGTAGCAACGCCAAAGGAAATCCTGCTATACCAGTAAAAGGTGGGCTCAGCAGGGTATACCACTATTATCACTAGGCCCGACGCTGCAAAGGCGACCGCGAAGCTCGCGCAATTTCTCACGAACCCCGGTCTATAGCACCAGCAAGCAGCTGATCGAGTTATCACCTACCTCTACTCTACCCGGAACCTAGCGATTGAGTACGGAACAGCCAATACTGGGACCGACTCGGTGCAGTTTGTAAGTGACGCTTCGTATAGAGACCACCCGGATAGAAAAAGCTCAGCTAGGTATATCTGTCAAGTATACGGCGGTCCAATTGACTGGAAAGTAAGTAAGCAACCTACAGTGACAACGTCAACCACAGAAGCAGAGCTACTCGGCCTATCGGAGGCAGGAAAGCAGCTCCAATAGTGGCGCCGATTGCTTTAAAACCTCGCCTTTACTCTGTCACACCACCTGACAATCGACTATGATAACGAGAGGACTATTAGCTTATTGACAAGCGAGGATACAGCTTTTGAAACGAAGCTTCGATATATCGATATTCACCACTATTGGCTCCGCCAGGAAGTCCAATAGGGTCGAATACGGGTGCGCTGGGTGCCTACAGCAAGCATGGTTGCTGATGGCCTCACCAAATTGCTCACTCGGCAAAAGCATAAGAGCTTCGTGCGACTGCTCAACATGGTTGATATAGGCTATCTTATAGACTAGGAATTACAAGATGATACAGCGATCTCAGCAAGTATACTGGGACCGCTGAGGGGGTGTGTCGGCGCAGATACACCAGGATACCGGAGGATTTATTAATCCTAAGTATACAGTAATATTTCTTATGTAATCAGGACAGTATAAATTGCCAGGAAGTCAATACAGCAATACGGAGAGTGGAAGACCATTGATTGGACCCATACATTTCCACCATACGGAGTAGTCGGACAAAACTTAGATGCCTTATATATTAGGCACATATATATCTTCCAAGATTGTAAGAAAAAAAAAAAGAAGAAAAAAAAGGTGTAGAATATAATATAGAATATCGAGTACAAAATATAAATAAAAATTCCAAGTGGTCCAATATAAGTTAAGACTGATACATATCCCCCAGATCAAGGTTGACGATCCGGAGCAAGTTGAGTGAAGCGAATTTGAAGCCAAATTAAGCGAAAATGCGAATTAACCCGAAAATGCCTAGAAATATATGAAATTCCCTCAAATTGTCCTTTTCACCCGTGTCTTTTCGGCTTAGTTCCCCTTTGGCTGGCACTCAATTTTCTCTTCGCTTAATTCTTCACTCCACTTGGGCCTCGCGGATGCACCCAGTCCTTCTTGGCATACTGTACTTTGATTGTATAGCCATATAAAATGTACCCTGTCATATCTATCTGACTCTATCAAGTCTCCCTAGTCATACCATAAGACCTGGTCCACCTCCTCTAAAACTTCCCCGAGGTCCTCTAAAAAGATCATTCCCCCCTTCCTATGTCGGAGTTTGTCAACTCTATTATCCCTATTATCCCCATTATTCCTTGCTATCATCTTATTAACTCCGTGATTAGAAATTGTCACTTACCTCCCAGGGATTCCCGGTGAAATTACGTGCTTTTCTACTCCATTCTAAAGGAAAAAAAACTCTGCCCATTTTTAGCATATAGCCGGTCATTTAATGGTATCTCTCCCAGGACTCTCTTTTTAAAATATAATATAATTGAAATCGGTAAGATTTCAAGGCTATTCTGCTATTGTATTCTCTTCCGTCATCATCCGCAGACTTACCCTGGGGAAACCAGCCCATATACTTTTGGCATCCGGACTGTTCCTGGTTTCTCTGGTATAATCCCAATCCCTCCCTTGACTTTTTTGTTTCTTCTCAACCTCCATTTATTTGTTTCCATTAAATTTGAATCCCTGAATCTGCTGAACACTCTCAATCAAATCTCTCCGGAAACAGTGACGACTTGCGGGACTGCCATCCGGATCTGCTGAATTCGGAAAGATTTAAAACGATTATCTGCCTTTTCTCCATTATGTTGCCTCCGGTGCCAAATGCTGCCGACTTTGGAATCACTTCCGACTATGGTTTCCTCTCCCCAGAACTTCCCCTCGAGGTTCTCCCCGATCCTTATTATGCAGATTGGGAGATGATTATAGGGAATCTCCAGCCACTAATATTGAGCAAACGTCTACAATCTATGGTGGATCATCTCCCTATACTGTCTGTTACACACCTACGGACCGAGGCTGAGTGGCGTCGCGCCTATGTCGTACTGGTATTCATACTGCATGGCTATGTCTGGGGTGGCGATTCGCCCACAGAGGTAACCAGTCCATCCTATTGGTTTAATAGTAAACGATGTACTGATTCTTCCCTAAGAGGATTCCACCTCAACTTACAGTGCCCTTATTTGAAATCTGTGAACGACTCGAATTACCCCCCGTTGCTACCTATGCTGGAGTCTGCCTTTGGAATTACAAGCCAATCTTCTCCGACGAGCCAGCCACCAACCTGGATAACCTAGCTTGCCTGCAAACCTTCACTGGATCTTTAGATGAACAATGGTTCTACCTAGTCTCAGTTGCCATAGAGGCACGTGGGGCCCCTTCTATCCCCCTGATGCTGCGGGCTATCACCGCAGCCCGCACAGGAAACAGTCATATTGTAACCGAGTGCCTGCAGCGGCTAGCGGAAACTATCGATGAGACCAACACGCTGCTGCAGAGGATGTATGAAAATTGCGATCCATATGTCTTCTACAACCGCATACGCCCTTATCTAGCTGGAAGTAAAAACATGTGTGACGCTGGATTGCCAAATGGGCTGCTGTACGACGATGGCCGCAATCCCGAGTACCGGCAGTATGGGGGTGGCAGTAATGCACAGAGCTCGCTCATCCAATTCTTCGACATCGTCCTCGGAGTGGAACACCGACCAACTGGTACAAGCCGCAACGATAAAGAGCAAAGCACCGAAGACGGCATCAAATCACGAAACAGCTTCATCCACGAAATGCGCACCTACATGCCTGGCCCACACCGGCGATTCCTTGAGCAGATTGACTCGGTAGCCAACATCCGCCCCTTCGTCGAGGCGCGACGCGGAGACTCAGCCCTGTGCATTGCTTACGACTCATGCCTAGCCATGCTGCGTGTTCTCCGCGACAAACATATTACCATAGTGTCACGCTACATTATCCTGCAGTCCCGCAGTGCACGCCAGCCTTCTCAGTCTACCAATCTCAACCCGAGTCTTCCAGCAGCGACCAACCTTGCAACTGCAGCCCCGACCGACAAGAAAAAATTGCGTGGTACTGGTGGCACGGCACTCATTCCTTTCCTGAAGCAAGCTCGAGATGAAACTGGCGAGCCTGCCATTGATGCCTGGGCACGACGATTGCTGAGTAATGGCCCTGCAGATAAGAACTTTGCTTCGTTGAGCAAAGTTGGGGAACAACCAGATGGTCATCTTGAGGTTGTCGGTCTCTGTGGCACATGGACAGCTGATGAAAACGAAGGTGGGATCTGTCACTGGTAATTTCGGTGCACATTTATTTATTTATTTATTTTGTTTTTGGGTTAAGTCTTTCTTTGAGCGTGGCATTGCATATGGGATTTATGTACGCCGTACGCGGCGACTTGGTGTTTGGGAACTTGCATGGTTTGATATTTCTTTTTGAACTTATGGATCTTAGTCTAGTATGTATTCTCTATCAACTAGGTATTGCATGTATGAAATATATTCCACTTATCTGGAAATATGGGCAGACCAAAGGATCCCTCTTTGTGACAATACGCTATGCTCATGGATCTGTAGAACATTAAATCACACGGAGAGTTGGAATTACCTTTCCTCATTACTACATCTAGTACGGAATAATCAAAGCAATGCTGTAGAAGCTTCCAACCCAATCTAGAAAAAGCTGACTTTGATATGACGCTTATTTCTGGGCTGTGTGGACAAGACAGCGTCATTGAGGAATCCCATTTCTATATTCACGTGATGTGACATCATTGGCATATTAATCACGTGGTATGATATCATATAATGACGTAGTGCATCATGACAATTTTGTAGAACTTCAACCTTGGAAGATCAGATTGGAGAAGGTCCTAGAACAGGTGGCTTGGATAACATGGCTTACATATATAAGGAACCTTCCTGCCATGACTTTCATTTCTCATATCTCATCAACCACTTCATTCTTAAACCGTAACACCTTCATTCTTCAAACATAACAACTTCATTTTCAACCATCTACCATTCAAATTTCATCATGTCTGACAACACTGGTAACGCCTCAACTGGCCAGTCATACCTCGAACAAGCCACAGGCCTTGCTCAGCGTGCCATGGGTGCCGTTACTGGCGATTCCTCTACCCAGGTGAGCATTCATTCTAGTCCCCAAAACCATACTGAACCCCAACACTAACCTATCTCAGACCAAGGGTGAACTCAAGCACGAGGAAGGCCAAGCTAAGAAAGAAGCTTCCCACACAACTGCTAAGCTGGGCCCCTTCACGGCCGACCCCAACACCGGAGCCGTTGCTAAAGACGACCCCAAGCGCGAAACAGGATCCTGGGATCAGACCATTGGCTCTGCCAAGGAGTCCATCGGCAACATGATCGGAAACGAGAACCTGCGCCGCACCGGAGCCGAGCAGAATGCTGCTGGTAAGGAACAAGAGGCCAAGGGCCAGCTCAAGGACTGGGGCTCTGGCATTCAGAACCGTGCTCAGGGTACTCTTGGATCCATTGGTGCCGCTATCACTGGTGACCGCACGGAGGAAGAGAAGTACCGTGATATCCATGATGAGGGCAAGGTCCGTCAGCGCGGTGCGGAGGCCGACATGGCTAAGAAGAATGGTGCTTAAACTTGGCTTAGAGAGATGACCTCTTTTGAGTCCAGGTTCCCTTTCTTAGTCACACTTGTTTTATTATCACGATTTTTTTTTACGATGGCCTTGCTATGATATCCAAATTGATGCCACGTTTTTATTATACTTCTGCTTGTTATAACAGTGTAGATAGTAGTTGAGTCAACCTCTCTTAGAATCCTTGCTCTTCCTCTCTTTTTGAGAGACAGGTCGGGTGCTTTTGATGATCATATTCTACACATGTGGAATTCACATGGATCTACGGAGTACAACAGATCTCTTATGTTTCACTGCCCATTGCTACACATCTATTCCGTACATTTCCCAAGATGATAAATTCCCCGGGGATCTTACAGTTGCGCCGTTATGGCTTTCCCCCGCCCCTGGCATCTGATCCCGGTAAGACCGAGGTTGATCAACTGAAAAAACCTAGAACCTTGGAATATTGGCAATTAATTTGTATATTGCATGTCACTTAGGGCCAAGGTGGAGAGACTGTTCCGATAGATCGACGGGCTAAGAGCGGGTTAAGCATTTGATATACTACTACTACTACTATAGATCATGCCCCGTCTGGACTATATACCTTTCCCTCCCCCCTTTCTTCTAGAATACTTCTCAACATTCTTGAAAAAATGAGATTCACGGCAGCTTTACTCTTTATCACAACAGCCAGGGGCGCTCAGCACCATCACCAGCGAGATATTACAGACAATGGCATCAATCTTGGTGCAATTTCGAGCGCATTGTATTTAATCCTTCTAGATCTTCTTCTAGGTATGGACAAACTAACAATTTTACAGAGAGAATATGATGGGCAATCAAACAGCCAGCGCGAACTTTGGCAACATCTCGCCGGCGCCCAAGTCGCTCGTCCCCGAGATCTTATCGGTAGTGCCCGTATCCGTCATCTGGGAACTCATCAATCCAGCCGAGCGCAGCTCATTAGCTAGCCAATTCAAGGCTGGCACTACCCCAGCCTGGTACAATGCTCTCCCATCGGACGTGAAAAGCTACATGTCGGTAGTTAAGTCGCAGATCTCCGCGGGGGCATTGACGGCTACAGAATCCGAAACCAAACCCACGGCAGCAAATACAGGGGCTGCTACGATAGCAACGGCAACTGAAGACAATTCTGGAGGGGTGGCAAGCTCAACATCTAAAGGTGCAGCTGCAAAGCCTACGGAGCTGACCGTGTCGGCATTAGGGGTGCTGGGAGTACTTGGACTAGCACTAGCTCTGTGATAGATCCACATGAATTGCGTATATATGACTGTGGTGAGATATGTTTGGCTTCTGAAATCTAAAAGATCGTTTCGATTTTGCATATGAGTCCGAATATTACATATTTCCTTTTCCTCTTAGTTCTATACACTGTATGGTGGAGCTCAGGCAAGACTGTTGCATTAAGCACATGCTGTTCCTTTCCCAATAGATTAAATCAATATATGAATAAGCAAATATGAACTTTCATGACGAGGTGGCACTATAGTACAAAGTATATGCATATCTATAAGATAGACAAGATGGACAGGCTTTGCCGATCACTACTTAACCGAACATCTCCTCCGAAGTGGACTTAAGTCAAAGCAGAATTATGAGACAAGTACTCCGTAAATATCTCTAACCTCAAAAAGGGGAGGGGGAAAGAGAATTAGACCGACGATCTTCCACTAAAAGGTGATAGATACCCTAGGAGAAACGGGGTGTGAGGCTTGCGGGGAAATTATCGTGAACTTTCTTATTCGCCATTCTCTCTATCTCTCTCACATGGTATTGCTTATCCCTCGGCCTCATCAAGATCGCGTCAATCCGGGCTACCACTGGCCTCGGACAATTTTCATTTACACTAATAAAAGAGTTACATAGAGGAAAGCAGATGAGCTTGCTTATAAGACACTGGATGTTTTTGCCCTCTTCTTTGCCTATTGCCCATTTCATCAATATAACGATATAAAAAGATGCATTTCTCTCGAATTATTTTCCCTTTGGCCCTGGCCCCATTAGCTCTAGCTGCTCCAGAGCCTCGTCCCAACCCTGTCGCTGCACCGGCCCCGGTCGCCAGTGGTGGTCTATTAGAGGAGCTGCCCGAGCTTCTGAGCGGCGTTCAAGGTCTCTTGAGCACCGAAAACATCAACAAGCTGGATACTATCCTCGATGGTGCGGCCAAGTTGCTCGCTCCTGATAATATCGATGTCTTGCAGGATATCTTGAGAAACGCCCACAGCCTGTTGACCAAGAGCTTTGTCGATAACACAACTACTCTCATTGGGGATGCCACACCGGTATGCATTGCTCCGTTTTTTTCATCTTTACTTTTGTGCTCATATAATACATTATAGCTGGTTGAGGATATTTCCAAGCTTCTGGGTGGCGTGCTAGGATCACTGTGAGGGTTGATTGAATAAATGAATCATGACAATTACTTTATTTATCATGTTTTATTGCACAGTTTAAACCATTTCTTGAAGGAATATATGTATGTACATGTAAGTTCAATGAATAGGACCAATACATAGCATAAACAGCCATATATCTCATAACGATTCGGGTATATATAGACAAACATTAGATTAAAACGTTCTTAAAACACATCCATTTTCTCCTTGAGCCGATCCTGGTAGAACTTCAAAGGGTATGCTCGCCATTTGTTAGGCATTGCCGGATAAAGAGCGACCGAGAAGCCCATCCAGGTGCGGTAAAGGGCCCGAGTGGTAGCTGTCGAGCGCAAACCGTAGGCATCACGCAGACGCGGGGGCAGCATTTCAATTGTAGTCACACGCAAGAAAGGCTTCATAGACTGCACCCAACGCGGCATATCCTTACTCTCTCGAAGATCCTTGGCAAACTGAGCCGCATCCTCCGAGACAGTCAACTGAGGGACCTGAGCATCCCAATAAGACCAGAATGCCTGGCGGGATTCCGGCCAGGTACTAGCAGGGACACCCAGGCAGTTCATGAGCAAGGAAAACTCGCTGTATGCGCGCTGGGCGCTGGCATAATCAACGCGGCCATAGACACGCTGATAGAAATCGGTTGCGGTCGCGTACAACGTGGCTGCCATCCACAACTGCAGCGGTGGATGCTCAGCAAAACGATTCGAGTGACCACCACCTAGCAGGGGTGGCTTACCATCCTGTAGGAGATTGACGAGAATCTTGCGCTCGTTACGGGTACCGAAGACCAAGCAGGAGATGTAGCTGATATTGGCCTGGAGAGCGTCGATGAGCTCAGTGGCTAACTCCTTGTGGCCGCCGTTGTTGGCGCCCGAATCGCGGATTCCAGGCATGGCAGCTTGTAGTAGCAGGGTCGCGCCAGATCCTGCGAAGAGGATGCCTTCCTGGAGCATTTTGGGGAGGACCTCTAGTTGTTCCAGGGCATGGAGACGACCTGAGTCGTTGGTGATATTCCTTGCGGTCGCATCAGAACCACTTGGAAGGTCTGCGACGGGCTTATCGTCCACTGGGGAGACAGGAGATGAAGGGAAAGACATGGTTGGAGAGTCAATAGTGAAGATTGGCAGTGAGTGTATATGATCCCATTGATTCTCAAAGAAATTAAACCTTCAAAGCTTCAAATCTTGAAATCTTCCCCAGAAATGCCCCCGCAAAACCCCGAGAAACCCCAAAAGGCCGTGTACTAAGATGGTCGATCATCTCGGCCCATGTGAATAGTGTCGCCTTTCTTAGAAATAAGCCGCGGTTGATAGCAGATCGCCGTCTCCTGAAGCGCTGATCCCTCCCCCTTCTGCGTCATTTGCCAAAGAAAGCAATGCTGCTCCGACGAGAAACCCGCTTTGTTTCCTTTTTGCTTTTTTACTTACCTACGGTGTCCCGCTTCGTAGTATGGAGAAGAACAAGTCCGGGGGTGGTGACTGTGCGCTAAATACGGAATCCTCCCCCCTACTCTCTAAGGTCAAAGTCGAGATTGCTGCGATCATGAACAAAAATACAGACATACCAGCATATCTGACTTCAGATGATGCTAAATATACTTTGGGTATTCATCGTGGCCCATTAGTATCCAAGACCGACGATGAAGGTGCTCAGCTCGCACATATCGAGTCCGCCGGGGGTCTGTCATTGGAAACGAGGAAGTTGAAGCACACTGAAAAGTTTCAGCGCCATTGGAAGCGATTCTGGTGTCTGCATCTTTTGGTGACTATCATCTTCCTGGCCATTTTCCTGCCTGTCTTGTAAGTTGCAATGCTTGCGAACTATGAACTATGAGCCACCAGCAAATACTAATTGCAATCAGCTTTTTGGTTGCAATTCCAGCTATTTCACAAATGGTCGTGAATAAGTCCGACCTAATATTGGTCAATGCCTCGGTCCTAAACCCGCGACCAGACAAGATTGAATTGACGCTGTTGTCAGCATTGAACCTCAAAATTGCACTGCCAGTACGCATTGAGCCAATCACATTAGATCTGTTTGTGCGCGACACTGGCGCAGAAAACGCATGGGGTCAGGCTAAAATCGACGGCAAGGTCATCAAGGGAAATTCCACCCTAGGCGTGACCAAGGTCGAGACTCCATTAATCAACTTGGACACCTGGGAGGAGTATGTTCACAATGTCGTTTTCGAGAAGGAGACTGCGCTATCAGTCAGAGGTGTAACCAATTCGTACTTGGGTGTGCTCAAGTCCAAGGTCACAATGGACAAGAATATCATGTCGCCAGGTAAGCCGAAGAAAACAAATCATTCTAGGATCATAAGTGAAGCTGACTTCATTCTAGTGCTGGATCAATTCAAAAAATTCAGTATCTCCGACAGTGGACTCATTCCAGCCCGTGAAGATGGCACCAACCTAATCGGGAATGCCTCCCTCCCCAACCCGTCCGTATTGACTCTTGACATTGGCACAATTGTCCTCGACGTGAAGAGTGGCGACCTCGTAATTGGAAACGCCACCCTCAAAGACATCACCATCAAACCAGGTGATAATGTCTTCCCTTTAACTGGAGTCCTTGACATACACACAATGGTTGAGAACATCGGAAAGGTGCTTGCGTCACAGGCAAAAGCCCTCAAAACCGGCTCCTTAGCATTGGACACGGTAACCCGGACCGTCACATGGAACGGAACACTGGTGCCATACTACACCAATGTGATGAAGCAGCTAACACTGACGGCCAACGTGGCAATTGCCGATCTGGTTAAGAACACTGTTCACAACCTGCTCAGCGGCAATCAAACCCTCCGAGACGTTCTCAACTCAGCGGGCGATACGAGTAATCTGCTAGGCAACCTCACGAGTAGCAATGATAACAGTGACACCGCCAGCTCAGCACTATCTGACACGTCCGACTTCGCATCCAAGATGAAGACAAGCATTGCGGTGCGCGATATGTTCCGTGGCACACACCCAGTTAAACGGGATTCAGTCATCGACTTGCTGGTCGGTATGTACATGAAACTGTGAAATCCCAATCCCATTTCTTCCTGTTTTTCATATACGTTTCCTTTTCTTGTCGAAGAAAGGTTTCCGGATCTCAGGTTCTGTGTACATGATTGCGAGATACTCGCGCGCTGAAACCTAAACGATACTTGATTCCCCTTTGGGTTCTGGGCAACGACCTTCGTTTTGGATGGCGTTATGGGATTGTGTTGCTGTCGTTCTATCTTTAGAGATAAATATAAGTCTTAATGTTCTTGTATTCCCTGTCGACTCAATTCCCGAGGCAGTGCATCGGCGGGCTGGTGTACGTTCTGTATATATGGGCAGCCTGTCTGTCCGGACTTAGGTCAGTGCAGAAGCTAATGCAGAAATTATAAATTATATGAGGATACAAATAGATCTGATCCCTCCATGCGTGATTTGTAAGCTTGCATATTGTCTTACCTAGGTATTGCAATGGGCTGCCAGCTTGATAAAATCACGATGAAGAGAAGGTTCATGCCAAAGTAGATTGAGCTTTGGCACAATGACGTGTCGTAAGAGCTCCGTGTCTTTTGATTGGGTAGCCGATTGATTATTTAAAAATTAACAACGAGATTCAAAGTCCACCTAGGCACTCTGTAGATGTCAATTTTGGATGATTGTTAGAGCTTCCGGTTTTGGAAATTGTTACATATAGAATAAAGCATGTATCTGTATAGGGCCCTGTTGGATACTTCACCCAATACCCAGGGTGCCCAATTGACAGCAATGTTCAATGGTAAATACAAACTGAGAAATATAAACTGAGATTTGCTGCCCAAAGCCCACTGAGTGCCCGAATCCTTCATGTTTAGTGCTGAATGGAAACATGCACGACCTCGTATACAAGCTTGCGCTGTGCTTATTTAAATTTTGACTTAATTTTCTATTAATATTGGCTATTGGCAATGATCTGTCATCTTGTGACAGCTAATTGTATCTGATCCTGTCTGGGTTGAATTATGCCACGTCCTTCTTCCAAAATCGATCCCTTATTCCACGCAGATAGTACCCGCGATTGATACCCATGTAAAAGGGCGGCGCTTCTTCTACCAAGTTATTTGAAGGAGAATATGGAGGTAGTGGCTTCAGCGTTTTTGAGAACAGTTCCTCGGGATCCTTATGATCTGCACGAGAGGTAACAGTGGGAAGAGACGTCGTAGTTGGAATTTGAAACTGAGGATCAAAGCTAATGAGGATAAGAGCTTGTTGGTTTGGGGGAAGTCCTGGAGCATCAATTGAATAGACGATTGAGCGTTCATCTGCAATACTTTTCACAGATCCAGTACGCGGGCCTGGACAGAGCAATTGCTGCAATGCAGGTGGGGCGTCATCTGGAGGCCACATGCGCACGCCACGACACTCGAAGCGTTCCTCCGAACCTTCGATGGGATACCCATCCTGGTCCATCTGGGTAGGCTGGAACAGTCGGTTGCAAGGTCCTTCGATTCCCTCCTCGTCAATGGGACTTTTGCGCTTGCGCGACACCGTACGGAGCCGTATCCGATCCCGAGACCGTAAATTATTACCGGCAGGGTCATTGACAATGTCCACAAAGGTAGATGCACCGAGATGGTAACTCCTATGTTTAGTGCGAGCTGGGATGAACTCCTGCCGCTTCGTAGAGCCAGACTCGTACTCGGCATGGTAATTCCGCCGCAACCTCTTTGTAGGTCGCTCATCGTAAGGGTGGTCGTTCTCCAGATCATCATCCATAGACACCCAGGATGGAGTTTCGCTGATACCCCCTGAAAGGGGCGCTAGAGCTTCTTCCGGTGTGGGAAGTCGCTGTGTGTAATATGTACGATGGTTTTCGCTCTTGCCGTCCCGCCACTCACGGCGGCATTCTAGTATGACTGGTCGGCCAGTCGTTTCATCCTTACGGATTGAAAGATCAGTCCACATCTCATTGATGGGGCCTTCTTGATGCTCTCGACGCCAGAAGCGACCGTTCCATTTTCGGCCATCTTCGCGAGGGGCATGACAGAACCAATGGTAGAAAGAGGAGTGTACTTCATCGTCATCTGAAGCAACCTGCGTCGAAACTGCGTAGAGATGCTCATCATGTATCTCAAAACATAGTGTTTGGCCAAGATCGCCATCGACCACTCGGTCAAGCAGGAAGTTAATAGATTCATACGATTCGAGATCTACGCCAGTGATAGACCATACACCATCCGAACCATCGGCGGCCGTAAAAGTGCCATACCAGATGTAGGATCCGCTGTGTCGTACAAAAACCGGTGCGGATGCTGGAATTGCCTCCCGGAGCAGAAAACGTCTCCGTCCCTGGTTGGTTTCCCGCCACGCCATGTTGACCACGAGCAACGCGTCCTCGGTCGCGTTCATCTCGGCCACTCGGAACACGAGAATATCATCACTGTAACTCAAAAGAGTAACCCGATCTGCTGCATCCGGCTCCACGGGACCAGTTTCCAGCAGTCGAGGGATTACATCGCGGAGGTCCATGACACGCTCCCTAAACGCGGGACCGTGCACATACAGCAACCGAATCCAATGGTCAGAACGGTAACACAAGTAGCCTTGGTTGTAGATAAATTCAGCCCCGTAACCTACGCAGACCACCGAGTACGGATCTGCCGTAGCGACGGACTCGTGGATAGCAAGCCGATGCCCGACGGCCTTGCGAAAATCAGACTGGGCTGCCAGAGCAGCCTGACCTTCTTTACTGTAGAGTAAAACATTCTGTAAACCGGGATCAGTATTCAACGTTGCAATTCGAGCTAGGGGGCTGACTTGGGCCTACCTCCAGAATTTTGCGTGCGATCTGTTCACTTTGTGACAAAGAATAGAGAGCACGATTAGTGCAACTGAGGCTCACAAAATCACGATCGTCCAGCGAGGTCGCGATCTGGTAAAACACATCAAATGGGAGTGTGTCCAGATTCTGTAAAGCTGTCATGGCTATAAAAAGTGGCCCAAATAGTTGTTTTTTTTTCAATGGAAAGGTGATCAAAAAGGAAGAGAATCTTAGACAAAAGGGCGACTGCCACTAGAAGAAAATAAGATAAAGTCCATACTAACTAAAATTTTGTCAGGAAAGAAGGCGATTTATGTTGTAGGAAAGAGCAAAGATAGAGAAGAGGAGGTGTGCGGCTCAAATCCATATGTCCCTGGGTGGATGTTGCCAAAAAGGCATAGTTCCACAGAAAGTATGGAAACCATGGGAACCCCCCTTTCTTACCAACTTTGGAAAAGCCTTGGAACCGAAGAGCCTCAACTAGGCCGGAAATAGATTAATGAACCATGGAACCTTAAAACAGGGCTATAGAGTAAGCAAATCTTCCAATCTTCGAAGGTTGGATTCCAAGGTGGAAGTACCTCTGAAAGTACGAGCAGATCTCCAGGGCCCTCCCCGGATCACGCAATTTGTCAGGGGCTCAGATCTTTTGAGGCTCATCCTATTTTGTACTTATTGTACGGATTACGGAGTGATATTTTTTTTGTTTCGGATTACGGAGTAGCTACACCCATCATCTCCGAAACATATGCGGCTCAATCCGTCTCTATTAGGCCTAACACATGTGCAAGATTTAGATTTCTCGTGATACGGGGATTATGTGGAATCCACAGGTTCCAAGATCTTTCCAGAGTTAGAGGGTTCTATGAGATCTTCGGTGCATGTGTGGCCCCGATGGCACCAATAGCCTGAATAAAAGAGCTCCGAGGACTGACATATTACATAAATGCCATGTATGTAGGTACGGAATACGGAGTCCGGAGTAGTATGGACCTTATAAGTTACATATGTAACTCCTTAACTCCATTAAAAATCATGAGAGTGGTTATTCTACAAAGTAAAGAGCCTCATTGACGCGTCTCTGCTAAGCCACCGCCTCAAGAGGCAAAAAAAAAAAAAGAGAGACTAGTCTCACATACGCACTTTTTATGCAGGCTAAGTTGCCCAGCCATTCTTGGTTCTGCCTAGCTCTTACTTTCAAGGGTTTCTTACTCAAATGTTGACGACATACATACGAAATACAAGCTAACTACTCCGTACACATATGCATATGTATAATCGGAGAATAGTCAGGTGACGGGACTAGTCACGTGTGTCATTTTGTTTATGTTTTTTTTTTTTTTAAAAAAAAGTCGCTGCCTAATATACGCAACCTCAGGCTTTAAACCTAAAGGTTTCTTTGTTTCATAATTACTCCGTACATATATAATACATATACCATACATTTTAGATTACATAGTACTCCGTACAATAGATGTAATAGATGTACTCCTTATGTAGTACTCCTATTGACTTATTAGAATGATTTACCTGCAGCCCTAATGGTGGATCCCAATACCTTCCCCTCTCTTACTCCCCCGTTGTATACGAAAATTGCCCAGGCACACTAAACTTGTGTAGGGCAAGTGTGAAGCCCATTTACGTGACCCACCGCCCAATTACTTTTTAACTTGTTCAACTTCTACTTCATCTTCTTTTCCCCTCTTCCATCTGGAGATTATAGGTCTCGGAGTACATATTTGCAAGATGTATTATCCATCTCAAGGTTCCCCTCCACAAGGGTCATCCCAATGGGGAGGATATCAACAACCCCCCCAATGGCAACCTCCGCCTCAGCCCTATCCTCCTCAGCCCTACGGATATCATCGACCCCAATCATCTTATTCGGCTCCTAACCAGTCCCCCTATCCGCCATCGCCTTATCCTCAACATCAATATCCTCAGTATCCCCAACATCCTTTTCACTCACCTACCCCACCATACGGCCACACTCCACCTCCTCGACCGCCCTTCCACCAGCATACTCTGAGTGCCCCTCGGGATGGTAAGGTTCTATATGCCAACTGTGCAAACGGCAACACTAACTGTCGAACAGGATTTCCTCGTGCAAATTCCCCGAATCTGCCCCCACCCCCACCAGAGAACTTGCAGCAATTCGGTGGAGGTGCTCCCTCAAACTACAGGTTTCAGTACTCGGCCTGTACCGGTCGCCGCAAAGCTTTGTTGATTGGGATCAACTATGCAGGACAGCCCAATGCACTAAGAGGCTGTATTAACGATGTCACTAACATGTCCAACTTCCTGACCGAGAGATTCGGGTACAAGCGGGAAGACATGGTCATTCTCACCGACGACCAACAAAACCCATTAAGTCTCCCCCACCAAGGCCAACATTCTACGCGCCATGCAGTGGCTCGTCAAGGATGCTCAGCCTAACGATTCATTGTTCATCCACTTCTCTGGCCATGGAGGTCGTACTCCCGACCTGGATGGAGACGAGGACGATGGATTTGACGATGTCATCTACCCACTAGATTACCGCGTCGCCGGTCACATTGTCGACGATGATATGCATGCCATCATGGTGCGTCCATTGCGACCGGGAGTACGATTGACGGCGATCTATGATTCGTGCCACTCGGGCACTGCATTGGATCTGCCGTACGTCTACTCGACGCAGGGTGTTCTCAAGGAACCCAACCTGGCCAAGGAGGCGGCCCTGGACTTGTTTAGTGCATTTACTTCGTATGGACAGGGCGATCTTTCCAGCGTCGCTTCCACAGCGATTGGGTTCTTCAAAAAGGCAGCCAACGGCGGGTCAGCCCGCGAGCGCACCATCATGACCAAGACTTCTCCGGCCGACGTGGTGATGTTTTCAGGGTCTAAGGACACACAGACCTCGTAAGTGGCGTAGCTTTAATTATTCGTATTCTTATGAAGCAATAAATAAGGAATCCACACTAATCTCGAAAACAGGGCGGATACGTTTCAGGATGGACAGGCGCGTGGTGCGTTGAGTTGGGCGTTTATCAAATCATTGCAACAGTGGCCACAACAGAGTTACCTGCAGTTGCTGAACACGATCCGAAATGAGCTCGAGGGCAAATACTCACAGAAGCCGCAATTGAGCTGCAGCCACCCCCTTGGTAAGTCACATAATTTCTGTTTTTCCAACCATGTGACTCCCAGTTAATTCGAGATCGACAGATACCAACCTCCGCTTTGTGATGTAATTGGAGAGTTTTCACCTGAGCACGTATGATACGATGGAAATGTAGCAAATGAGTAAATGAATTCACCTGATGACATTCTGAGATGACTTCCAAGGTTTCCAAGTGCCGAGTTACCGGGGGAGAAAGAGCCCGTAGGTTGCAATATTGTGTAGTATTTTAGGTACATACTGTAATAGGCTGATGTGTACTACGCACCACATGCCGAAAATAATTCGAACCACATCGTAATATACATATGAAGTTCAATAATAGGAAATAAATATATGTACTCCGTACAAACTACATGAATACGATGTGCCCGCATTTCCTTGGGCTGTCGTAGCTGCGGTTCTCTCCTCCCGAAAGTGGATCTCTCAGCAAAACTCAATAGGAAAGTGGTTTTTCTCATGTTAAATAGTAAACTAGTACTCCGTACGGAGTAGTACATGTAATATTTCCAAGACATTCAACGCCATGAATAGTAAATGTCTTTGATGTTGATATCTCTGATGTCTCGTCTTGAATGTTCTGTTTCCTATCCTATACCTAGGTATCCACTCATATCAACTGATTTCTATTTAAAAATTTATAGAACCATGGCGTTATTCCCCTGAGTAAGAATTGGACCAATCAACAAGTAGAAAACCCACAGTTCCCGGTGGGAACCGTGGATGCACTGTCTTTGCCCCTTGGTAACCATCTTGCACGGGCTAATTATTAATATTTTTTTTTAAATATTTTCAGGGGATTGATATCAATATTTATTATATTACTATTCCAGTATAAGAAGGGTGTGGAAGGGGAATTGGAGAATTGGAGTTTTTACGTGAAGAATGTAGTATTATAGTAGTAGACGAAGATCGTGGCTTTATTCTGCCGCGTCATTGGATCGAAGGACTTACGTGTGTCAGATGAGACACGATCTGATAACCCCATAATGGATGTTTTTCTTCCACATGGACACCTATATACTACTGTTTATATTAAGTACATGTATGTATATAGATATATTCAGTAGAATTAGACTATTTATATAGTTAAATAGTTTAGCCAAAGACTTGACTAGTCAATAATCTATCCTTTAAACGGTAGAATCCAAAAATAAAATTACAAGTCATCTAAGTGTTACGGGACTAAAATGTTCATGTCTCTCTGATCCACTTTTGGTCTTTTTCGGAATTCCATCAGAGAATACGCATTTCTTTTTTTTGGACTTTTCTTTTCCGCTCTTTTCTATTTTCACTTTCTGACATATCATTATACCTGAAGCCATGTTGACTTCATCTGCAACAAACAGTTCCTATTCCTCCAGCGTCTCGTCCGAACCGAACCTCTCTCCATACCACCATCCCCCCACATCCACAGTTTCATTGAACTCCCGCCGAACTCCAATGGCTGTCAAGTACCCTCGGTTTTACTCCTCCCCCGTGGACGAGGAAACCGACTCAACTCCTCTACAAGTCTATGGCCTAGAGCAACGAGAACCCTCTATCTACAGTAAACCTCCCAAGCTATTCCGCCGAGTCTCACACGTACTAGGCGATATCCGTGAAGACTTCTCCACGGATGCTCGCCAAACTACAGAAAAGCTCAAGCGTCGTTCAACTATGTTCTCCGACGGTTCTGGTCTCAGTGCTCCCCCATCGCGTTCAGGAGTCCCAATGACATCCCACGGACCCCCGCGGTCGCGGCCAATGTCCATCATCTCCTTCGACAACTGGTCTGCCCCGAAACGAGGAATGAGCCAGCGAATCTCCCGCCGGCTATCTGTTTTCTCTTTGCGGGGCAAGCCTACCCGTTCCAAGGAGGCCAACATATCCTCGCCGAATCTGATCGGTTCATCGACTCAATACGGAAATAGAAGCCAAGCTTCGTTCATCTAATGACCGGAAATACGATTTCTTTCTTTTTTTTCAAAAAACAAGCATTTCCCATCTATGATCATGGGGTCGACGCTCAAAACATCAATACACGGCTATTCATACACGGGGAAGACATCGGATGTTACGGGATAATCAATTTTCGGTTTGGGCAATTTCCTTTTCTACATCTTTGCTCTATCCATCATTTTCCTGGGGTGGACAGCGATCATTTTCATTTTATCAAGATTTTGTATCTACTTCTGCTTGACTTGCGCATAGCTCGGTGTTTGGGAGTTCGGATTTTATTTTTGGATTTCTGGATTATTTGGATTAATTGGATTATTGGTTTTTCCCCCTTGACATATCAGAATAATTTATCATAACTATACAGAACCCCTTGAAGACTGCATTTCTCTCGAGCCCAATACATAGAACGCTAATTTACGCCACCATGCGGTCGGCATTTCACTCTAAGCTAAGCAATTGCCGGACTAACGTGCGTTAGCCCGTCAAATAAAGGCTGAAAACGTCCGAGATTACAATTCTAAATGCGACCGCTCAATATGTACTTCACACGGAGTACTCTGACATGAAACTGACATGCTTTGAACTCTTCAGTATGTACCCGTGTCAAAGAACGGAGATGCCAAGGTGGGAAGAATGATATGGGAGGATGCGTAAATAATCTGCCGTGTTTGGAATGGCCCTTGTGATTTGGGGTTAAACGGAAGAATGAACTAGGGCGTGTACCTAAAATATGGGATCTTGCAGAAATGAACTATCAAAAGTCAAGCAGTAATGCTATTATTTACATTAATTTTCTTATTTCAATGCTATGTGTCAGGCAGATTCATTGCATCTAGGCCTGGTCAAATTCATTACTAAAACAGCTAACCAGCTATTATGTATTGCATGATTGCGTCGAGTCCTTCCTCGACGGGCTGCACATAAATATATACATAATTTCATAGGTCGTAGTAAACTAGGCTTCGTCTATGCTCTGGACTTGAAAATCCCTCCACTATATACTCATAGCTTTGTAAAGTCTATCAACGACAATCTAATACTCATGTCTGCCTCTCTCTCTCCATCCATTTCACATGTTCTGCCACAGACATGACTCCCTTGCCAGCCGTTCTCTCAAACTCTTCATCTTCGCGCTCAATATAGTTCTGCGGGCGTTTCCAACAGATAGCACCCGGGTCTCCAGACACGATCAACGATGGGCTGGCACAGTAATAGGCATCAAAATCCTCGAGACTCCGGTTGGCTATAATGACAGTGAGTAAGGAAACCAACAATGGAGAGCCTCTGAACATACCCGTCTCCGGGTAGAAGAAGTAGAGGATAGGTAAGAAAGCGGCATTGGTCGCCGTCCAAACAATCCATAACTTACAGCCAATACTCTGAATTCTGATCGGGATGATTTACGCGACGATGAAGTTCGTAATCCTGTACTTTGTCAGAAAAACAGTCGATGAGATATACCCGCCACTCAGATACTTACCAGTCGGTAGCAGTTACGGCTACAGCACCCTTCGTCCGCATCGGCAGGGAGTTTATCTGAGTGAGATATAACCAAGGAACCCCCAGCATGCCAATACCAAAAGCTTCATAATAGAGGAAGAAAAACGCGACCGAGGCATTACTCTATACACTACCATTTTCATTAGTCTCAGCATACCCAAGCAGGACAATAATGACAAGGAAGCACACAAACTGCCCAAACGTCGATAGAAGCATCAGACCACGGCAACCCATACGTTCAGTCAAATGAACAGCTGTATCCGAGAAAAATAGGTAGGAGACGGCGTTACAAGCCGAAAGCAATCGAGCCATTTTCTCCGGCAAACCAACCGATTTAGTCAGTAAGTACAGCGGGCATATAATAAGGCATGATATTGATACCGCCAACCTGCTGCGGGGATTGACTACCTATACCAAGGAAGAGTCTGCGCAGTGTTTTGGTATTGTTCTTCTGATCTTTCTTGAGGAGGTCGCGCTAGCTTTTGGCATTCTGGCGCTCGTGTTGAATACTGAATGCGATTTCGTTGCGTTGGGTTATAACCACGGGATCTTCGATAGGTAATGCTTCAAGGCAGCCGAGGACTTCGATTGCCTCTTCTTCTTTGCCGTGGGTAAGGAGCCAACTGTGGGTATATCGTTAGGTGATACCATCATCAATCAAGGGATTGCCGTGTATATTTACCGAGGAGACTCCAGAAGCCAGGGCGTTGTCCCTCACAGATTGAATAGAAAAAGAACTGAAATGCAAGTCGAAATCGCGAGGCTACAGAACTGCCTGCAAATGGCAGTCCATAGTTAATCCAGTTGACGAGACACAAGCGGGCGATGTTCATCATATCTGGGATTACTAGTTTTCCACACCATTTCGTTTGGGGTGTTTCGGCCTACCAGATTGGGGCCATAACAGTGTTGATACCTATTTCTAGTTAGATTGTTGTATTTTGCTTGGGTCCAACGATCTTTACCGTTTCCAATAATACCCAAATGCTCTGAAGAGAAGACCGCTTACCCTAACACGATACGGCCAACGGACATCTGCGCCAAACTAAACGAACTCGTCTGAAGAATCGCCCCTATTGCCATGATTGTAGGTTCCAGTAGGATAGCTTTCTTTCGGCTCAGACGCTCACCAACGGTGAAGGCGACGATAGCTCCAAAGAAACAACCAATGTCATATATATCGCAGGCACTGTAGACACGGCCGTTGTCTTCGTAGGTCCGACCAGATCGTGAATTTCAAGTAAATCTTGTGTTCTCACCACACCGTCTGGATTGAATTAGGTTAATTCGAGGTTGCATACAGTGTCTAGAGTACTCACTGAACAGTCCTTGGGCGTAACCAATTAAGGTCATATCGATTACGCATACTACATAAGACATAAACATGTCAATTGATTCCTAACCAACATTATACTTGTAGTCGCCATCCTCCTGTTAACCTGAAATAGGGCTTTTGCTTCTGTGAGGCGGTAGTCATAATCAGAACAATAGTAAATCGAATAAATCAGATCTCCACCCACGTTAATAAATGGGATTATATCCCTTCTTTACCTGTTTACTTCGTAGATGTAGCCTAAATATACAGGGTATACAGTTTCATCTTACATAAGTCCCTTGTCCCTTGCCTATCACTTGACTATTCCCAAAAACGGGGAATGATCTCCCGAGATCGGCTCCGCTCCGAAGTCTGGGGGATAAACGCGGGGAAAAGGTTCAACGGCAAACCCTATTATCCCAAAAGGGTATCCCGTAGGGCTTGATCGACTTAGTTTGATACTAGATATAGGCAGATTGACTTCGCTTAGATTCATATGGAAGGATGACCAAGGCCCCTACGTCACTGGCTTGGTGGCTGGGGTATTAATTGCATTCGTACGGAAGAGTGAATGAAAATACTATATCGTCGGCTATAATCACTGCTTTTAACAGAGCGATAATAACACAAAGCAACCAAAATTGCGAACCCATTTTTGCCACAAAGCCCCCGAAAAAGCATATATGCAGACTAAGTCGACCTGAAAGAGATATAGGGCATGTATGTAGATTATAAGTGGAGCCATTTCTTATGTACGCAGAGCCTCTGTATGTCTAGGCCATGCAGTTATAATAATTCCGAATACTACGCCTCTATGCATGTATAAAGTTTTTGTTTTTTTTTTTTTTTTTTTTTTTTAAGAAAAAAAATGATATTGCATGTTTCGTGAGTAGATGGTATAGAGGCTATAAGCCACAAAGAAAATATAAGCACCGGGAAAACACCGTCTGAAAACAACACCAGAATCAACCTGCAAAGCATCCAACGCAGCAACCTTCTGATAGCAAGGTCTGCAAAATCCAATATAATCCAAAATCCAAACCCACGTATAGTAATACGCCATAGTAATCCCAAACCCCGACGTGTCTAGAACATGGAGCCAGTCCATGCGCCCCGGGCATGCACGTGCAACCGGCACGGCATCTCCAACCCCGACCCGGATCTTGCCCTATCTAGCCGTAAACCTCAAAAATCACAGAGTTACGCTCTCGAGATCACGCATGACAATACCCATTTGTGCACGCTTGGCTGCCTCAGCGACGAGACTGAAATCTTGCAGAAAGGGCGCTGTGGCAGTTGGACCCCCGAGGCCATTTATCTGATGAGGATAGGTATCGGAAGTGGACGCCGGAGCGGGGGCTGCATTCATAGGTAATAGTGCATGGGTGTTGGCTGCGGGGGCGATGGGAAGGGTACTCGGGTTGGATGTGTTGCCAAATGCCTGTGACAAGGGTTGCATGGGAGGGGCAGATGTCTGCGGGGAACTGGCAGATTGTAGCGAGGGTGAAGATAACACCTGCCTGGTCGCATTCGATGCGGCCTCTAGTGTACTTTGAGCCTGGGCTGCCATGGTGGACTGGCCGGTTGAAGAGTCGAGTGTCGAGGAGGGATGGAAGGAGGTAGTGGGCTGGAGAGGTGCTTGAGGATTGTAGACTGTTGGTAGGGTCGAGTCCATGACGTGACCAAAGCGGTCCGATCTTCAAGATGCAAAAGGAATAGGTCGCAGTGGACGTTGATGTGGATGTGAACTTGGTAGATTATGGAATGGGGAGAGGAAGAGGTAGAGTGTTGCTATGGACAAAGATGCGAGGGAGAGATCAGTGGAAAAGAAAGCAAAGTGGCAAGGAAATCGAAGCCGCTCAAATCAACCGATGCAAATTGCAAAGAAGCTAAGGCAGATTTAGCCGTGATATCCACTAATCACTGACCAAATTGCAGATAGAATGGATGGAAAAGAGAAAGATTGCAGTCTACAGAAAAAGAGAAAAAGATTTTACAATCTCCCCAGTGCATATGACCTTTTGAATTGCCAAACTTCCTTTTGGAATCCCGAGATTTGCCCGTGATATTAATACATGGCATTGGTATCGTATTGGTATTATTGCTATCTCCACGTCTTCTCCGCAGTCACGTGTTGTTATTCACGTGACTCCAACCTTACACTTAGTTATAACTAGGTAGTATATAGTTAACTAATGCAACTGTCAATAGTAATAGTATATATAGTGGTGGTAATTATACGTATTTCTGTAGTTGCAACGTTTTTTTAATAATCAGCTAATTTAAAGGATATTGTCTGATGTTATTATTATATACGGAGTACTCCGCACATACAGTGACTACGCATAAGTCTTAACACCCTTGGCCCCACATAGAGTAGTTACGTAATATTATGCCGGCATAATTATCCCCTCAAGATTCACTAGGTAGCTATTAAAGCCGCCTTGTTATGCAAAAATTTGCCTCCTAAATAGAAATTAACGTGGAAATTCTAGAAGCAATTCTTAACGGGTGCTTCAGATCAATTGGGTGCCTTATGGCATAAGTTGTATGAGCGTTTGGTAGGCGGTAGAGTGACGTTTGGGCGGTGTAATAGATGGGTCTCAAAGGGGGGTTAACACTTATGCGTAGTGACTGTATCTCCCAATCTCTACAACATAATACCGAATCCGAAGAAATCCGGTAATCTCTTACTCTGTTAGCCCACTTTATTGATGCCTGAGGCAACTAAAGATATGCCCGATAAGAAATTGATAACTGATATCGATATTTTTTCCCCCTCCAAAAGTACAAGTACCTATTAAAGTCATATACTATCATGGCCGACGAATTTGATTCGGGGAATCTGTTTGAGGACCCGGAAGGATACTACCCTGAAGAGCAGCCGCCCACATTTGCCGAGCACTCTATGCTATCGGGCCAGAAAGTGCGCGTCCGTCTTGTGGGCAGTCACCCCCTCTATGTATGATATCAATTGAAATGACCATTTGGCGTACCTACTTACAGATCTTGGCAGGGAAATTTGCTATGGAATGCTGGCCGAACCAGCTCCCACTACATTGAGGAGCACACCGAGGATCTCATCCGAAACAAGGATGTCCTCGAGATTGGTGCCGCAGCAGGCGTTCCCAGCATTGTGAGCGCAATTCAGGGTGCCCGGACAGTAGTATTGACCGACTATCCGGATCCAGATCTAGTTGAAAACATGAAGTACAACGCAGAGTTGTCTGCCAGTGCCATTCCCGCGAGAGAAGACGGAAAGCCCCGCCTCCACGTCGATGGTTACAAATGGGGCAGCGATGTGAGCCCGCTGCTGGCATATCTGCCTCCTGCTGCTGATGGTTCTCCATCCTTGTTTGACGTTTTGATCATGGCGGATGTGGTCTACAGCCACCGCGAACACCCGAATCTGATCAAAACCATGCAGCAGACCCTGAAGAAGGATCCGAAGTCTGTTGCTCTTGTTATTTTCACCCCGTATCAACCCTGGCTGTTACCTAAGACTGAGAAATTCTTCCCATTGGCGGAGGCGAGCGGTTTCACTGTCACCAAGATCTTTGAGAAAGTCATGGATGCGGTACTGTTTGAGGAAGACCCTGGTGTAAGTCTACACTTTTCTTTGGATCATGTCCATATTGCTGACTCTTTACAGGATGAAAGACTCCGAAGAACCGTATTCGGATATGAGATCCGATGGGCACAGGATCAATTGGAGGGTTCATCCAAAGCTGTTTGACCGTTGATTTGATACCCCGGGCCTACTTGGAACGATGACATGATTACATGACAAAAGTTCGATAGAATTTATATACATTGGGATCAAAGCTCGCTTCTCGATTTCCCCATCTGCTCTACTTTGTTATATAGCACCTGAACTGAATATCTCTGCCTCATACTTCAGGCCTCAATTTCATCATACAACAGTCTTCCATTCTTGCTTTTTCTCTCTCATCCTATATTCGAATCAAAAAATAGTACAACAATCATATAAAGTAACAAAACAACTCAAATTTCAATGGCATCCCTAAAGAACATAGCATATACGGTTGAATGTAGATGCGGGTCACATGCCACAACCCCCGCAAAAAAAAAAAAGTCCACCTGAACAAACATCGCGACAACCAACGATGCCGGTACGTCGAGAGTCTTCTTACATTTCGCAATTCAATCTAACAGAATATATATTCAGCTCGTCGTTTTAACGGGATACCCGTGCTCCGGCCTTACCCACCGCGCCAATCAACTCGCATCTTTATTTGAGAAACACCAAGATGAAGTATTCGCAGCAGCCGAAGCAGGCGCGCAGGTCTCGCTGAAGTCTCGATACAAGGTCCATGTGGTCGCTTCACACGATTCCTCCCATCCGCGGATTGTCTACGACCATGCCCGCACCGAAAAGGAGGCGCGCGGCGTCGCCTACGCGAGAGCCAAGCGTGTGCTCAAGCGGGACAGTATCGTTATCCTCGACGGAATGAATTATATCAAAGGATGGAGGTATCAGCTGTGGTGTGAGGCGAAAGCCGCGCAAACGACATGCTGTGTGGTATGAGATCGGAACGTGCAAAATGAATTGCGACGCCCAATGACTGATGATGCTACTATAGGTTCACGTTGGGACACCCGTCGACCAGTGTGTCGCCAACAATGACGCCAGACTACACCGAGACGCCAACAAGGAAAAAAACCCAAAGACATCGGATTCGCAGACCTCCAAAACCCAAACTACCCCCGCACCTGACTCCGCAGAGTCTACCGAGGACAACGAGGAGGCCTATCCACCTGACCTGCTCAACAACCTCATCTTCCGCTACGAGGAACCTAGCACTCACAGTCGCTGGGACAAGCCTCTGTTCACAGTTCCCTGGGCCGACGCAGAGCCCCCGGTGGCAGACATATTCGAAGCCTTGACAGGCGTAGTCCTCCCATCAGTCGAAGGACCCACCGAAACAGCCATCCCAAGCCTAATGGACTCCCTCAAATCCACCGCCATTTCAGACGTCGCCAGCACAGCAACAGGTACTCGAGGTGGCGGTCGCAACGGGCTCTCCACACGGCCCCGAATCGTCCCGCACCAAGCCACCGTCCAAGCAGCAGCTACAGACTCGAATGCAATGTATGCAATGGAAAAGCGGACATCGGCAGTTGTGACTGCGATCCGTAATTTCACGCAGACCTACCCATCCGCGGAAGTAGCGCTTACGCAGAGCAGTCGCCGTGATGCAATCGCCATTGATGTTCCGGAGACAACTGTTCCCATCCTTATTCCGTCCCATGTCGCCATGTCTGGAACGACGGATGAACTCGCCGCTGCTGGTGGGATTCTGGCTCTGCCGCGGCTGCAGAGGCTGCGTAGGCAGTGGATTAGCTTAAATAGATCGTATATTGGTCGGGGTCATGGTTCTGGGGGCGGTTCGCTGGCGGCTGACCAGATTGGGGATGCCTTTGTGCGCTTTCTCAACGCCGAGTTCTCCGGTGTGGTTGCCGAGACGTCTGAAGAATAGATGATTTGCATTTGAGTAGGATTAGATAGATTAGATGTCTTTTTCATCAGCTAGAAAGAGTCAGTCGGTACTAGTAGTTATGAGATAACGAGGTTATGACTTGCATACGCTTCAGATCTACAGGAGTACGTTTTTAAGGATTGCATAGTTTAAAAAAATTTATTTGAAACAAAATACACAAGAACTCAACACTATCTCTATCAATATCAACAAATCAAATCAAATCCAACCAGTTGTTGGACAATACATGGCTATATCTCTCTTTACTGTCGTTATTCTTCCCCTTTTTGAGACATAGTATCCCGCTTTGCTGTTTCCTCCGCATAAGTTTCAGATCTTTTGTATCATTGTGATGGTTGTATCCATGGATCTGGAGTGCAGCGCAAGAAGCTCAGAAGCTCCTTTGTGCTGACTCTAGATCCCCGTGTGGTGAGCTGCTTGCGATCGGGAGCAGATCACAAGCTCTCAAGCGTGGGGTGGGGTACCACACTGATCCTGTCCAGTTCCTGGCCGTAATATCCATTTTGGAATCGGATTGTCCTTGTTTGATGGGATCAGGTTGGGACAATCCTTTGGCCGAAGTCCACTTGTGTACGCGCGAGCGATCGCACTGGGTTCCTCCATGCATTGAAAGTGCCTGGCCAGCAAGCAGCATGGTCTAGCCGCGGAGTAAAAAGGAAATCAATAAAAAGTCCTCCCGTGAAGTTGTTCGTATCGTTTAAAAGAAAACCGCTGTTCCCCTCCAGGGCGGAGGCCTACAGCTCCTCAACTGTTCATGGCAGTCCGTTGGACATGTGGGAAACAGCCTGGCTGGCCTCAATATGACGGTAGTTCATACCCAAGGTGAACAGCTCCTGGAAACTGGCGCTGACCTTCTCGTGCATGATAGTATCCTGAGGGGAAATGTTACCCAACTCCTCCAGCAGACGCGAGCGGCACTTGAAGAAGTTCTGCTCGGCATTGTGGAGGCGCTGTCCAAGGCTGGCAGTAGTCTGGGTGGCCTTGATGGAGCTAGCCTGGGAGTGAACGGAGCGGGTGCGCTTCATGGTGGGAGCTGGGGTGGCACCGGTGACTCTTCTCTTGCGGCCAGTGGGTTCCTTCTTCTTGATCTGACCAGCGCCAGGCGAGGTCTCAGGGGAGCTGTGGCGCTCGGAGGTGGCATAGTCATGCACACGACGCATGTGGTCGTAGAGGTTCCATCTCCTTGGGAATCCATTTCCTGGGACGGCGCGCTCACAGCCCTCCCACAGGCAGAGGTGGGGGTTATCTCCATGGCCATGTAATCCGTGGGCTTCACGCTCGTGGCGGAACAGACATGCGTTGGAAGAGAATCGCAGCTGGGCATCAATGCAAGCGGGGACCTTGCAGCGATATGGCTTCAGATGGGAATCCAGGTACTTGCTGTTAGTTGATATTGGTTAGCTTGGGCTCAGATTACACCAAAAAGTTTTATCACGGGAGGACTTGCTGGTAAGCGCATTTTTGCGTTGTGGGTGGGTGGTTGCAGGGTTTCTCTCCAGTGGCAAATGGGCAGTAATATTTTCCGTCGCTGTGGGTAGACATGGAATAATACTGGTGCTCTCGCGGGTTGCGAGCCTCAACACCTTCCTTAGATCTCTGGCGCGTTGGTTCTCTCACAGGGAGTGTTGGGAAGAAATCGGGGTCAGTCTTTCCTTGGTGCTGAGAAACAGCCGGCAATGCTGAACGGCGGGATTGCTTTGAGGGTCTAATGGTCCTACGATATTGTGGTTAGATTTCTGATCAAAATCTTTTTGTCTTCTGATGTATCAGTCTTTCTGACACTCACCTGTTGAGGTCCCTGTCGTTAAGAGAAGAGCTGGGGAACAAGGGCTCCGCTGGGTGGAGTCCATGGGTTGTTCCAACGGGCGATGTGGTGAAGTCTCCGAGGAGTGCATCATCGGGGGCCATGAATGACGTGTATCCAGGGTGTGAGCAAGAAGAAGTAACAGACATATCATTGCTAGCGTCGGTCAGTGGTGGAGAGACCGGGACGGTCTGGAAAAGACCCGACGAGTATTGTTCCATAGTGGTTCCTGGGTAATGGGCATCATGCATCATTGGAGTCCACGACTCTGGGCCTGTGATATAATGGCCGTCCTCGGTACTGTGTGAGCTGTGCCCGATGGAAAGAGCATCATCCGGCGTGCCATTCCCGACACAGACATCATTTTCAACAGAAGAGAAATCCAGGAAAGAGTTATAAAGATCACGGGACATTTCATGGTCATTCATATCAGGGACTGCTGGGAAGTCCGCGCCTGGGTACATAACATCATTTGGTCCGACCGTGGGGGTCATCAGCTGCTGAGACAGCGAGAAAGAAAGCATATGCACCTCGGATGAGTCTGGTTTTGAGATAGCCTGGTCAAGGGATTCTTGGTGGTTCATTGTCCAGTCTTTCATGTCCTGTGGATTTCCATGGGCTGTACGGATACTTGAGCACAACGAGGAGTTGTCATGGCTCGTCATTTCATCATCCTGGATTAATCTTGAGGCCATATTTGAGATCCCTGAAACCATGGAGGTATGCATGGACTGTGAGATAGAGACTCGGTCAGAGTCACTGCTGGTCCTTGGAGACATTGTGTGTGGGTGTGTGGTTGTATGATAGAAAAAAAAAACACTGTAAACCAAGAGTTAGTATCTACTACTCGTATCGAACAATGAGATAAGCAAAAAGAAAACAGAAGAACAGAAAGCAGAGAACAACTCCATGGTCCAGAGATGATTGTTGAAGACCTAGTGAGAGTCAGTAATGAGACCAGAGGTCGCGTCGCGATTACTTGTACGCACCAAAGTCGTTTTTGTGGGATTGCAAATTCCTTGGCCGACCAGGGAGTATCGTTAAGGTCCTGGTCAAAGTTGTCGAGTCTATTTTCGGGTCCAGGTCTGCTGTCAATCCAAGGGAGTGCTATGAGGTGCCAGGACGAGGAGAAACAGTTTCATCATGGCCAGAGTTACTATTTGATTGAAGCATCATGATCCAGGTAAGTCCAGGTAAGTAAAAGAAAGTCGTTCATTTTTGTAGCCAGATCAGATAGGTACACAACGGCCAGGTTCCATAAAGCAACGGCCTAAGCAAGAATTGAAAGCGGATGCTTCAAAAGACCATAATTGACACGGAGCAAGCACATTAGCTTGAAAGATTCCTCAGTTGATCCCTTGGGGTAAAATGGTTCCATTATTGTTGAGAAAGTGGCCATAGTAGCATCAGGTTTCCAGGCAAAGAGTCATAATTTCAAAGTCCTTTTAAGTGGTTCATGTGGTTCATTCCAGGGGCGTTGGTTCCAGAGGTAACGGGGTCCAAGGTTATATCAAAATCCGCACTCGAAACTCCGGTACTAGAGTAGAGGCAATGTGAAAAGAAACACGCATGGTAGTCCAGTGGCAGTGGAAGTCAGGGCGATTTGAGTGTGCAGCATTAAACACATCTCAAAGAGATTCATTCAGCAGGTGCTGAAGGCAAGTATCCTCGGCAGTGGTTCTGGTTCCTTATTCATGGTCGCCAAACTTGGCCAAAAGTCCAGTTGTGGGAGTAGGTCTAAGGTCCTTGGATCCTGGGGAATAGGTTGTCGACGATCCTCGGCAAGCACAGTTGACAGTGGTACAGGTCCAGAAGACAAAGGAAAGAAAAGTAACGCATAGGAGAACCAATTGTAAAGAAAATGTGACGGGAGCTACCTATTGTGTTTGTCGAAATGTGTGAACAGACTAAAGAGAAGCCTGGGAGACAACAAGAAAGCAAATCCTGTCCGGGAAATGTGGCAGAGAGAAATCCTTGTGGCAGTGATTGTATCAAAAACCAGGGAGTCTTGGGTTTAAGAAAGAAGTTTGTCCTTGGTCCAGGGACTGAGTTGTTGTGTATGTGTTGTCGAAGAAGAGTATATGTAAAGGTGAGAGAGAATAGTTGCACAATCACACAGGGTAGTAGTCGTAGAAAAAAGGGGTATCCAGAGTTAAGGAAGAAAGAAAAAGAAGAATCAGAATGAGGGAGGGGGATCAGCGGCCTTTTAGCGCTCAAAAAAACAAAAGCTCGGACTGCAGAGGGTCTGTGGGCCATCAAACATGGCGTGTGCCAGTCTCACATTGTGCAGGAGACGAGTGCGCTGTTGGCACCCTGAGAGCCAGTACTGCAGACTGGCGGTGATGGCATCTGCATATTGGGGGGTGGTTCGTTTGACTGAGTGGAGGGATATTATCTAGCGGTGAGGCGGGCTCGGGGTCTTGAGTGCTTGGCAAGAAGTATGATTGGTGATGGAAGACAGGACGCTACAGCATGATGTCCGAATTAGACGATCGGCAGGATCACTCGCGTGTTCGATGAGATGTCCAAATTGGTTGCGCCTGGACAGGCAATCGTATGGAGGAGAGAATCCCACGTCGGAGTGCCACGGAGGTGCCACGGATGTACGACGGGAAGTATACCTGCAGCATGAGGTCACCCTTGTACAGCGTTTTAAGACTCGAACATATATGAAACAAAAATAAAAATAAATAGATGTGATTGTAAATGTGATTGATCATAAATAATATAGATGATATAGTAGAAATAATGTATAACTAAGATTACTGGACAACGGGACGGGGCGAGCCAGAGAGCCAGACCCACGTTGGGCAGCAATGCAGTCACTTTTTTTTGGGGTTTCCTAGGGGTCACTTTTTTTCAGTTAGCCAAGTTCAAAAGAAGTTGTATGTGAAAAAAAAAAATTAACATCAAAGTTGATAGGGTCAGAAAATGTAAAATGGAATATGTTTTCGTTCAGCAATCCGAAGATCTCAGGTGAACTATGCTTTAATATTGGTTGTTCATCACAAAAAAAAAAAAAAGGGCAAATGCCCTTGGGAAACAGTGAAGGAATGTAAATCAATAATGATAATAATAATAATTGGCTTACCTGTTAGCGGGAATTGTCGGAGGGGATGAGTTGTCATGAAACACAAGTCATATTCGAGGCTGTGATGGCAGTCTGGAATATGATTGACGGAGAAAAGGAAGAAAAAGAAGGAAAAGATTTTTGTAGGCGTGATCACGTGATATATCTATATACATAAGTTTATACTGTTTATACTGTTTACACTGTTTGCTTCTATATTCTATATTGAAGCAAACACCCACATCTTCAACTTGGGGCTTATCTACCCGTCAGACTCTCCACTCTCTATTCCTTGGCATGATGAATTGGACAGGCGGCCAACTGCAGCGTCATCATAATCGCTCAGTACTGTTGACCAAAACTCAGAGACAGAATTTTGCCAAGTCGAGACTCCAAAAGGGCACGGTCATCCCCCCGCCTTCGCCATTATGTAACTTTCCTGATATTGGATTCAAGGGCTCGAGCGCTAGGGACAAGGATGAGGAGGAGACAGAGGCAAATGGAAATCAGTCAGTCAAGAACTGTTGATTGCTTTGACTTTGTTTCCACCAATCCATGTGCACGTCCTCGTACTAACCCGTGATCGCGCTGGTTCTAGAGCCACGGAGGAGCCGGTCTCACGTTTGACTGGTGGTCAATCCGCTCATAGTGGTAATGACTTGAGCGAGATCAAGCGCCAACTGCTGAAAGAACCTGATTGGGCAGCTGTATCCGTCACACGTCCACTTGAGCTTGCATTTACATCTGTGGAGGAAATCGAGCGGTTTGGGAAGCGACGAGTGCTAAATGACAAGGACAGGAAACGGCTGATGGCAGCTAACAACAACGGGTCTACTTTGTTTGAGCGACCCAGACCCCCACCAAGAGGCAGAAATTCATCCTCGGTGATCGATACCATCGAAGAAGACATCCAATTCGAGTTCAGCGGACGACCAGTGGCGCAATCCAATGACGGCTCAGCAGTGGTCCCGAACAGCATGTCATCCCAGTCAATGCTACTTGACCACGAAGGATCACCTATTATGGAACAGAACCTGGGGAAAGAGAACCTAACGGCTACCTGGATTACCAATCTCTTTCCCCGTTCGCAATGACCTCGACGCGGGGCTATGACCTAGCAGTGTATAATGTTGAAAACTCATTTTCATTCAGAGAGTCAGATGAAGTCAGATAAATGGTATATGTTCTCAGACTCCACATATCAGACAGATGTCTGCAGGGAGGTATTCATATCTCGTATTTCTTGGGAACCCCATCTTCACTATGGCCTGTTGGTCGTGGCGGTGCTGTTAGGTCTTTCCAAGGTCCGCAAGACCACCTTAGGCACCAAGGTTCCAAGGTTCGTGGAATATACTCAGTGAGCAGGAATCACCTTCATCGCCGTGCCTATAGAGAATCCTTGCATTGACGAATCGTCGTACTATTCGCCCTCTGCATGAGATCACGATGGAGACACAGAATTTCTCACTCACTTGCAACCAACATGGTCAGCAATGATGAAAGATTTTTCTCCTGTTGAGCCCCAATCCTAAGTTTTCATATCTTGAACTACTTCTTCCGCCCTTTTCTAGAAATCTTCTTCGCTCTCGTCGTCTTCGAATTCGTTCTCCTTGGTATTCAGAGGTTCGTCGCGCAAAATATAAGAGGATATAAAGCCCACAAGATCATCGTGCACATACATTCTGCTGCTGTCACCAATAGGTTGGGTTAGAGTATGGCATATCAATGACAGCATGTAAATTGGAGGCTTAGGTGACAAGATCTTCAGGGTGAAGTCAAAAGTAGATGCGACTTTGACAGTGTCTTGGAGAGCCAGGCTGAGAAACGACAATGGATAGAGAAATATTCCGATTGAACCAACTTTATCTATATCTCGCTCGCTCCCAATGTCCATACCCCTCAGTAACCTTTCTGGACGGGGGGAACACACGGAATTCCACAGTCTGATAGGGTTCGGGATGAAAATGATGACAGTGCGTCAGGCACCGCCCATTCAACAAACTGGGACCAGAAAATCAGTAGAGCCCCGAAGACTAAATCGCTGAATGGGATATTTCATCTCTTACTTGAAAGACCAAAGGGTGCACATATCTCCACTATACCTGCGACCCCCACTCCACAAAGATGAACGTTTTTTTCAACTAGAACTTTTGCAGCTATCTTGGTGATCGGTTCTGCATAGGATTGTCGTAACAGTGATTTTTCCAGGGGTAACGGGTCCATATTTTGGTCAAAGGAAACTTCATAGAAATTGAGATATAGGAATCTTTTCAAGGTGCGCATCGATGTATCGATGTACTTCGTATGTATGTAGATCGATAATTACCGCATTAGGTCATCACATGATTGGTACCTACCTGCCTTCCCGAAGCAACGTCATTTCCGTCTCCACAACCATTTCCAATTACATTGAAGACCCCTTGTCGGTTCCATCGCTCAATTATGCGTTCTATTCCATTTTTGGCCACACTAGCCACCGGTGCTATCTCCATCGCGCTCCCGTGGCAATCTATAGATCCAACCAGTGGAACTCAGCTCCCTCTCGTGATCTGGCACGGTCTGGGCGATGACTTTGAGCGCGAAGGGCTCAGTCAAGTTGCCAAATTAGCAGAATCCACCAACCCAGGCACATACGTGCATCTCATCCGACTCGCCGACGATGGCAGCGGAGACCGCTCCGCAACCTTCTTCGGCAATGTAACGGAGCAAATCGCCTCAGTCTGCGAACAGCTTGCCACGGACCCAATCCTCAGCACGGCACCCGCAATCAACGCTCTAGGCTTCTCACAGGGTGGCCAATTCTTACGCGGGTATATCGAGCGCTGCAACTCCCCGCCCGTTCACAACCTCGTCACATTTGGCAGTCAGCATAACGGCATCTCGGCGTTTGAGTCGTGCGCCATCGACAACTGGTTCTGTAAAGGAGCGGAGCAACTACTACGATCGGGACGGTGGTCGAGCTTTGCACAGTCGCGCGTCGTACCGGCGCAGTACTTCCGCGACCCGGAAGAGCTGGATTTGTACCTCGAGCACAGCAATTTCCTGGCGGATATTAACAATGAGCGCGAGGTCAAGAATGAGACGTACAAGAGGAATCTGGCATCGTTGAATCGGTTTGCGATGTTTATGTTTGAGGAGGATACTGTTGCTGTTCCTAAGGAGAGCGCCTTGTTCTCCGAGGTTAATGCCACCACTGGTGAGGTGACGCCGCTCCATGAAAGACCAATCTACAAAGAAGATTGGCTGGGGCTGAAGCAGCTTGATGAACAGGGGAAGCTGGACTTCAATACTGCTCCTGGACAGCATATGCAGCTGTCTGAAAAGACCCTGCGCAAGGCTTTTGATCGGTACTTTGCTCCACTGGTGAAGGAGTCGCGTCCTTCAGCGCCGGGTCTCGTTGTGCAGGGCGGCCTTTGATTGTTCTCTCTTCTCTTGGGCGTTTTCTTTTATCATATGATATCCCAACTGCGTGTGCTTCATCGTTTAGATACTTGGCATCTAAGTCGAAGTCCAATCTAATGCCGCATATGGCTGGTTAGTTACAAAATTATAAACCCAGAATGTCTTTTCTGTTCGTTCTAGCACCGTCTATTTTATGTCTACCAACAATATAGCTAGATACATCACCTTGCTACTACTCATCGCAAGCTACGCTGACAAATAAAATATGCAAGTGGAAAAGAAAAAGATGACAAAGATAGACACCGAATAGGAGAAACCCCGACAAAGCAGAAAGGACCTGCGTATCTCGAACAAGTTGGGGTCTTACTAGCCAGCATTCGACACGAGGGAAGATAAGATCCATGCAAGGCAAGGTAGGGCGGGTAAAAGGAAAAGAAAAGAACATATAACAGAAAGAAAATTATATAAACATATGAAGAGCCAGCGAAAGGAAATGGCTGCAAAGATGCCCAGCGAATGATGCAAAAGTGCAAATCAAACAAAAAAAAAAATCAATAGGGCGGCCGGCCAAGGCCTCCGCTAACCTGTCTTCTGCTGTGAGATCGACTCAGCGGAGCTTTAGAAGCAGGTTTGGCAGTTGCCGGGCGGGTTCCATTCGTCAGTGTGGTCTCGCCAGGCGAGAGGAACCCATCCAAGAGCTTCCTCAGTTGATCTTGGTGGGTGCCATCCAGGGCATTGGAGTCATATTCGGTTGAGAGTTCTGGGATTCCAGCTGTGGCAAGGCTATGATTGGACCGGCTCTTGTTGCGGTTTAGAGGCTTACTGTTGAAGGCACTAGCTTCGGCCCTGTCTTTCACCGAAGACAGTTGCGATGGACCTGGCGCGGTGGATGGGCGATCATATGAGGTCAGCGAGCGCTGTGAGTCGTTCGGGAATCCACCCGGGATCGACAAGCCGACTGGGATTGGTGGGACGGGAGGGATTTCTGCGCCTAAATCGACCCGATTTATGGATTGTGCACTCGGAGATTCGTCGGTTGAGGCTTTATCGCCTGATAGGGCAAATGCCGCCGCCGAGGCGCGCGGTGTCTCTGTCCCATATTCACCAGGTGTTTGTTGACTTTCTGGTTGAATTGAGGCGGTCTCTCCATCTATCTCGGAGACAGAGAAGTTGCCGCTCATCATGCTTTCGCTCCCGGAAGAAATGGTACTGGCATTTGATGCGTCAAGTCGTCCACGCAATGGGCTGAGGCGTCGAGCATGGGAGTCGTTAGTAACCGAAAGCACGCGTCGAAGCTCATTGACACGAACAGGCGAGCCTCTGCTCGAGCCGTGGGATGAGGAGCCTGATATTTCCGGAATGCTCGTGCGGCGGTGATATTGAGAGCCGGCAGGTGAGCCATTGGTAGCCCCGTTAGTTTGGTTATTGCGAGCATTTAGAGTAGCCCGAGAGCCAGTGATGGATGATGTTCCAGTGCTTTCCTTATCCACAGCTGCTAAACATGCCTCGCGAGACCACGGAGACAACATCTGTTCTTTCACGACGGACGGGAGGCCGCCCTCAGCCTGTGATTTCACTGCTGTTGTGGAGTGCCCAAGGACCGGGAATGTAAATCCTCGTGCTGGGGAAGAGGCCGAGGGGCTGTGTGGAGGAGACGATGTCGATTTGCGATAAGATTCGTCGATCATATAGACAAGTCCGTCGACATTATGGAAGGGTGTCAGTGGGGGTGGGGAGGAGTTGTCATTGTCGGGCCTCTTTTCGCTGTCAAAAACAATAGCATAAAGGTCGACCGGAGGCAGGCGGATTTTGGAAAGCCAATACCCCTTGTCCTGTCGCTTCTGAATCTCGTTGCTTATCTCAAGACCCACGGGGGAGGACTGCATGTCGAAATGCTCAGACAGCGCAAGAAGATATCCGTGTATCAAGCTTCCAATGTTAACGCGAGCTGCGAAGGAACTCAGCTCTATAGATGTGAACAAGTCATCTTGCAATTTAAGGACCATAGGAACACCGAATTGAGCGGCATTCACCCCGAGATTCTCGACAAGATTTGCAAGAAGTAGGTGCAGCAGGAGAATTTCGTCGTCTTCAGCAGCTGTCTCAAGTGCAGCATCGTAAATAGCCAGGTGCAAAAGACGGAGGAAGTTCGACTGTGCCACCAGCGCCACTTTATCTCTTTGGCTTCCAGGGGCCGAGGTACCTCGTCGATTCGACCTGTCTGTCTGCTCGGGGTCTCTCTTGGAGGTTGTCTTGATATACTTGGGTGAATCTAATCGCACCTTGAGGTCGTTCCCATTGGTCTCAATCTTCAGCCATGATAACAATGCATCGGTATAGGCATAGCGAACATCACGATCCACATCACGAAGAAGTACTTGGGTTCCTTCCCACACATGGATTCCGACCGGATGTCTAGATTCTGCGCCAGACATGGTTGCTGGCGTCCTTGAATTAGCCACGACCAAGATAGCCTTGACAGCTCGGAGAGCAGTCAATTTAGCGGCAGCATGCGAGAAGGTTTCTGTGCTTGCTTTGTCTCCATTTATCTCAGATCCGGAATTTGTCGAGCCCTCATGCGCCACTCCAGATTCGTGAACGGTTGCCAATGGAGATGGCACGGAACTCTCATGGTGGAAATTAGGCTTGAAACGCCTGAGGATAGCCCGCATCATGTCTGCGACTTGGTCTCCATAGTAGATATGCGTTGCGAGATCTCCAATACACTGTTCCAGTAGCGTCAGAAGATTTTGTCGTCGAGGAGAGATTTGAGCCACAATTTCTACTTGTCGATTTAATTTCTTCTCCGATTCTGCAGACCCAGTACGCTCTGGCGGTGAAAGTATATCAGAAGCGTAGTGCATGAGTCCAAAAAGGATGTCCATGACGCTGAGTCCGATCATGTTCACGGAAGATCTGAGAAGCCAATCCACCACAGATAGAATAATGAATGATGCCTCTAAAGCACCCTCCTTGGGACTTGTATCGTGGAGAATCTCCATGGCTGTGATCAAGATAATAAAACGAACTTGCACCGGACACCAGTTCGCAATGAGTTCGATCAGAGATGTTGCCCAGTTACCACCTTTGCCCTCGATTGTCTGAACGCGCTTTTCGCTTTGTGGGAAGCCCTTCCTTGAGATGAACCGTAGAATGGCGGTTACTGCAATACGGATCTGACCACGACTACTCCCCGAGACGATGGTTTGTTCGAGACAGCGCAGGGCCAAGAGCCGAGCCCCCATTTCCGCCTTTCGGTCCGCGTCAGCAGCTGATCGCGCTGCCAGCTCGGGGTCACCCTCTGCCGTGTCCACTGTGTGCACCGTGTTGACACTCATTCGGCGTGGTTTGTGCCCCTCGCGTTCATTCGGGTCGGGTTCGGTTAGCTTGGCCTTTAGTGTCGTAAGGAGATCCTCATCATCAGAATAGAGGTTCTCCAGAATAACCGGCAAACAGATCTTCAGCGATGTTCCTCCGTCGGCAGACAAGGTCTCTGAGCTGACCACGCCTCTAATAGCTCGCAGTCCTGCATTTCTCCATCGGATGGCTACCTGCGGGCTGAAATTCGCGTTCGATTTGGATGTAAATTCCGGGTCGGCAAAGCTGGCGTAGGTTCGCACAACTTCTCGGTATTGATGCGCGAGGCCCTGGTCAGCCGCGATGGCCGCAATGTCTTGATACCGGCAGAACATTTCGAAGGCAACGATCGATTCCTCCACCATATTTATGTCATTGGATCGCAGAACGGTATCGATTATTGTCATGACAGATCGGGCGTAGATAGGAAGGTCGCGGGGAACTTTTTCAATGAGCGCAGCCAGGATATGCAGGGCCACCTGAACATTTCTGTGCAATAAGATCAGTCAGTCATTCATCTTGTCGAGTCCACATGATTCGGGTGGTCAATATTCTGCGCGCTCACCCTATTCTGCGTCTCCAGACATCCCGGGCAACTCTCTTCTCCAGGAAACCGCCGACCTTGGTCAGCTTGCTGCGGCGTGTGCTCGTATAGTACAGCAGGTATGATAGTTCGCTGGGATTTGGCCGGACCTCCGACACCCCTTTCTGGTATTTAGGGTAACATTTTAAGGTCAAGACCTGGTGCTTCGGCCGACAAGACTGGCGAACAGACTCCATTGGAAATGTAATGCCACATGCAATTCCAGGTGGCGGGAGTCCACGAAAGAGCGCGTCGGACTCTGTGATATTCGAGGTGGAAAATAAACTGAAGACAAGCCGGGGGTGCTTGAGCGAGAACTAGTTAAGGGCCATGAGAAAGACGGATGTCCGCACCGCAACGTGGACAAGAACTTGGTGAGGTAGTAGTTCAGGGCGGATCACCAGGGGGTGGGGCTCTGGTGTAAGAGTCTGAAAAGGCACAGGAACCTTCAAATAGTAAAAGGACTGGAAGTTGAGAAAGGAGAGATGATGGGGGGGGGGGGAAACAAAACAAGGTTGGGCTCTCGGGATCTTCGGGCGTATTCTATATTTTGCTCCAAAGTTGTTAGCTCTCTGTCTTACACGTACGGAGTACATTTCTTTTTAAGACTTAATTCTTTATATATCTTTCCTATATACGGAGTACAACATACATATGTAGGGGATTTGCTCAAAATTACCGAGATAATATGATTGTAATTGCCACATATGAAAACCGTGGCGATAACCCCAAAATGACATATCGTCTTCAAGATGTATAGTGTGCAATGTACTCCGCACTCCGTAGATGCAATGTAGGTAGGCGCAAATAGTACAGATAATCCAACTCCGCTTGGTCCTTCCCCCCCCCCCCCGGCCTATATGTCGTCACAGCGAATTGGCCTTGAAAATTGGACAATGGAGCCTCGGCTGGGGATGCTCGCACATGAACCAGGTTTCTCCAAAAATTCCCTAGATACGATCGTCGTCACTACTCCTTATAGAACATTATTTATATGCATAGTTAGTCCCTAGTAACCAACAGGAGAAGTGCAAAATGGTTTACTTTATTTTTTAACTCGCTTCAACTTTCTACTAGTTTGGAGTTGGTTTCCAAACAGCGAAATTGACCCTTCCATCTCCAGGTTCCCTGCTCGTACTCTGCTAGTACAAGTCTGCTAGTGGGCGTGATCTTTGTGAACTGAATCGGTTTGAGAAAAGCTGATTTCCTCGGGATATATCCACGTTTTGCTAGGATGGTATTCCTGTCCTCTTTTAAAAGATGAGGAACAGTAGTAAGAAGGGCCTCAAATCAGACCGCTCAGTTCTGTCAAAGGCCGAGTTGGGTAACAATGGAATCAGAGTATAAATGCCATGTGCAGCTTAGATCTGCCAGTGTGTGGGTTGTTCGTATGTGGTGTATTTGTATGTTTTGCAGGGAACAAGCACATATCCCGGTCGCATCGAGCCTAGGTTCGGAATTTAAGCCCATCATATCCTTCCATTTTGACCGGCTTCCTGCTTTTCATCTGCCGTGTCGGTCTCAGTCTGAGTTAGGTCAGGGACACTGACCCCTGCCAGACCTTCAATGACCTGGGGCAGAATAATGTCGCGGCGGAAGGTTTCCTCCTGGAGCAATCGAAGCGCGCGCAGTGTAGGGCCAGGGTGGGTGAGGAACTGAGAGTACTCTGGTGTCTTCCAGTAGGAGTAGAGATAGGCTAAGTAGGCTGCAAATGCCTGGGCGTCTGGCGAGGAGGAATCATCGTCATCGTCACCACGAGAGATACCCAGGAGATTTGGATATGTAACTGCCAGGTGTGATAGATAATAAGGGTTGGCAAGAGATGAGACGAATTCAAGTTCGAGAATAAAGCGCGGATTGGTCAGGCTTGGTCGATCCTCCATGGTGATGATGTAGAGAAGAGTGTTGAACTGCCAAAGGCTGGGGAGCTTCAAATGTGAGATTCTACGGATGACGATAGCGTCCATTGAGGTTATATGCAAATATCGAAGCAATGGAAATACAGATTTCAAGCTGAAGAAAGTCTCAATTTCAAAGTCGAATATTCTGATATGCAATAACTCAACTCTCATAGAATGTCCATATCCAAAAATATCCACAAGACCATTTCTTCTCGTCTGCCCTCCAGATTCCTCCGAATATAGTATACCCTCCTCCTTCTTCCCTCCTTCTTCCCACCTTCTTCTCAATCTCCTTCAACTTCGTTTCAATTTAGATCCACAAGGTAAGTTCTCCAAATCCCCGTCCTCCCTCAACGGGATCCTAGCGAAATGGTGAGTCAAGTAAGATACGTTCAACATCCTCGGCCCAACTTGAGTAGGGTATGGAAAAAGCCATGAAGTTGCCTTGTGCTGCTGATTCTTATTGACTGCTGATTCCTCCTTCCCCAAGGCTTATTTGAGGCCGAGGGTGGATATAATGTATACATTGAAGAGTTTTAACGAAGACTGGGCTATGGTGATAATACTATGTATATACATACCGGCAATTTTGGGGGATGGAGAACTCAATGCTCAATGATAGATAGATTCGGAGACGGTAACAATACACTTGCATGGTAAATGTTACTTCTTGAATATTCTAATAATCCTCAATGATCTAAAAAGCATGTATTTTTGCATCGATATCAGTCCAAGTGGTGGTGAGTGGCAGATAGAGGACTATGTAGCAATGAGGCTTTATTTGAGAGACCATCCACAGAGAGCAGTACATTGTCTTCTAATGGAGGATCAAGGGAATCAAAAGGAGCAAAATGATATCGCATGAAACATATATGCACGGCGCTTAGCTTGACGGTCAGTGCATAGTAGGAAACTCCATATTTATTATATCTGTGGTGGAATACATATATAGAATCGAGCAATAAGAGCATGGTCATTAATTTCTATGTCTAAGCGATACCTAGGTAGGCTGTACGATGCTCATTTGCCGGTCCCAGGGCGATGATGACCCGGTGTTATGAAACCTGTAGAAGTTCACAATAAGCGCCTGACATGGTCGTCAAATGTCATCCATGGATATCTGAGATATGACTGTCCGGTATGCTCTTACCAACAGAACAAGAATGAAACCGTGTTTGGACAACTAGTTCAATTATCATATCCTATTGAAAGCTACTGATATGAGGAACAGCAATGGGGGAAAAATACATGTTTCTGAAAGCAAGGCTGAAATTGAGATACAAGAAGAGAATAAACCTTGAAAAACTCCGAATCATAGCCATGATCTTAAGGTTTGAAGATCAGGGCATTTTGTTTCATGGCGGTTTGGAATCAGAAGTTTCGAAACATTCTATTCCGAAATATATGAACGCCATGTTGAACACCGTGTATTTGTCAGTGCTCGATGCTGGGTATTAACGCGTCGAATCATCCTTCCTCATTGAGGAGTTAGATGGTGAGATGGTGAGGGAATCATGAGATTGACATATTCTTGAGGTGCATCCGAGTGAAAAAGGCCCGCTGGTTACATCGATATATTTCCAGGGCAGGCTCAAGTCGCTAGGTGACTCAGTCGCTGGTCCGTCTTTCCGGCTTGGGTTTGCGCAGACTCTTCATCCGGTTCAAGAATCCACCACTACCAGGGTTAAGCTTTGACTCTTCATAAGGTCGGTCGTTGGTGATTTTGCGCTCCAATACAGTAGTTTGCTTAGGACTGCTGGACGATCGGAGCCGGCCGCCCCCAAGACGAGCTTCGATACTCGATCCCTTCTTGTCCCACTCTTCCTCGTATTCTTCTTCTTCAAAGTAGGGATTTCTCTCATTGGCTCTGGCCGATGTGGAATGACTGGAGCTCACCTGTGGCGGAGCGGGTGAGAAGTTATCAGGTGGAGAACTAATGCGGCCAGGTCCAGCAGCTCGTCCACGTAGTCGCTGAGCCAAGCTCTTCTTTCGTGAAAGGCCGCCATTCGGCTCCGGATTGTTTTCATTCTCGCTCTGACGACGTGCCATGGCAGATCGACTAGCCGGAGCTCCATCGAGGAAAGTACTAGTTCCCAGTCCCATAGTCTGTGGTCCGTGGATCGGGTCCACTCGGGCAGTGGGATCAACGACGCCCGTCTCAGCATTGCGGCGAGCAGCGGTGGAGAAGTCATTGTGACCTTCCTCCATCCTGCCATGGAAAAGGTTGAGATCGATGTTAGAGTTGTTGGGGCCTGAGCCGCCCAGAGCCATGTTGGTGGAACCTTTGGGGAAGGCTTGCATTGGCGCGGTACGCACGCCGCGGCGATTACGATGGGGATTACAGGCATCGAACGGTCCATCATGGTGGAACACTGTCATGATAGTTAGCATATGAGTCGGATACTCGTGAAAGAGAAAGAGAAAGAGAAAGAGAAAGGAAGAAACACCCCCGAAATACGTACTTCCAGTGCCATAGATACTTGTCACATCCAACTTATCAATGATATCAAGTCTTCGATCCTTGCGGCCCGACCGTGATTTTACATCTTTGCTACGACCCTCACGCTCGCGACGCCGTTCGCGTCGGCGCTTATCGTCGTCATCAAGGTCCAACAACTTCGAGCTTCGGTCCATTACCGAAGACTCTGAGTTCCGCCGGGCACGACGGGGCGCCTTGTCCTTGGCAGTTTGGGATGATGTAGGGGGATCGGCGAAAATGTCGAGCGGGTCTCTCTCTTTCGACTCTGCCGATCGTCCAGGTGGACGCTCCGAGCGGTCCCTTGGGGGTCTGTTGCGATTCGAGGCAGTGCGTTGGGTGGCATCAGATGCCACGGGTCGAGGACGATCTGGCTGGGGAGCAGGATTGAGGGAGAGAGACTCCTGTTAAAATATTAGACCTGATCTGAACACGTAGGTTCAATATTCGCAAACATACAAAGAGCTCCCGAGTATTGCTCGACATATTGTTCTTCTCGATCGGAGAGATCATGCTAACACCAGTCGACATGCCAGGGGCTGACTGCGGAGACATCGCCTCGGTGTCGTCTAAGAATGGGTTTGTAGAGCGTGGGCGTTCCGGACGGTTGTTTGATGAAATAGATCCAGGTGAAAGAGCGCGGTTTCGGAAGGGGTTATTGGAGCCAAAACTGGCCGCTGTTGGAGAAGCTTGGTGTTCTATTGCTGGCAAAGTTGCTTAAAATCAGTCACAGGTCTAAGAAAGCTATATTTTGGAGCAGAAAGTCAAGGGAATGTGTCATTTTAAGGATCAGGGGGTCCCAAACTATCAGCGGTAACGCATGAGATGTATCATGGGAAGTGCTTCAGGTTACGTACCTTGCGGGGCTAGCGATAAGCCAGGCGCATACCCAAGCGCTGGAGTGGCATTCATTGTGATGGGATATTTCAGCTCTGAAACAAGGTGTGGGTGGAGAGGCTGTTTGCGTTCAATGAGATGTCGCGTTAGGTGTCGCACGAATGCGGAAGAGAGTGACAGGAGGTATTGCTGAAACAGTGATGATCAGGGGGTAACAAAGAAATGGATATAGACCACTGCAAGTAAAACTGTTTAAATCAAAGCAGTGAAAGAGAGAAAGATAGAAAAAGAAAATAAGTTAAAGAGAGAAAGGAGGGGGGGGGGGCAAGGGGAACACGGGAGAGGCGAGCATACGTAAAGTGCCCAGTGATCGTCTCATTAGGGAAATAATACTCTGCTTTACGGTGGCCCTGTCGATCCTTTTTGTTTAATTTTTACAACATATTTATATGGATAGGTATATATATATCTATCTATGACATGTGTTGGGGTGTTCTTATACTTATTATGCTTGTTATGCTTGCGATGCTTATAATGCTTGTAACGTTTCTGATCCAACTTTTTTTTCCCTGAAGAATCCCCAGACTGGCTTTAATATAGCCTCAGGGGGCCAATCTAAACCAGGTTCCACTTTGGCATGTTGTGACAGTTGAAAAGGTACTAACTGCTATGTACAGGGACTTCAAAGGGACTCTCCAAAGGGACACCCCAGTTGAAGGGCATATTAGGAAGATTTCAAAATTCCTCGGTTACCAAAAATAGCGAAACATTCAGAATGACGTTCGCATTCCATATTGATGTCATCTTCTATTCCTGAAATGTGTGCATATACAACTTGATATCTTCTCGTTGGGTTACTTTCAACATCTCTAGGTCTTTCCATGGAGGTCCAGAGTGAAGGGCCCATCTGCCGAGTCAAAGGAGAAGGATACAACTCCAGTTCCCCTGAACACAGTGCCCAGCAGTCCACATGCATACCAACAGGTTGAAATAAAAGTTCTCATGAGCGGTGGCTGAATATGACCAATTAAATGATAGTCCCCGAGATTGCTCTATTTGCATGGATATAAAGCCCTCGAATTTGGAATATTATGCCAATCTTTCCAGACTGGCAGTTCGGCATCTAGTAATGCAGAGAAGTATTCGGTAGATATCGAACATTCCTCGGCTTGGAATGCGATCTCAAATGAGTTCATAAACTGAACAAAACATATCACTAAACTTGCATACACAGGCGAATTAGCTAACTATATTATTCAGATTGAACGGCAGAACAGACGTGTTCAACCCCTAGCCCCCTCGATGAATATGTCAAGGTAACCGTGTGACCACGTCAGATTTAAAGCTAGGGATCACACTGATAGACCGGTATCGGAATACTCTGTCCACTTGTACTTACTGCCCATGTCTCACACCGACCCGCAGCCTTAGGGATATCCGGATGTGGACGGAGGGTCCATAAGTCAGGTATCATATATAAAAGTTTATGTATGCGATAAGGTACGTAAGTAAAGCATTGGGCTTTCTGATGTGTCGTGTATCCATAGGCTTGTCAATATATAAATATACATAATAATGAGGAGTATTGTATTAAAACTATAATGGAGGGTTGAGAGGCGAGTTATATATGCTTTCAATTACGGAGAGCTGATATTGGACGGTGCAGTCTGCTTGCTACTTTATAGTCCAAGTCGACCCCATATACATAAACTCGAAATATCATTCATTATCGTATTCTGGCCCCATTCAAGAATGGAACCCCTGCCATAAACGAACGCCACACACAAAAAATGCAAACAAGATGGTATAAGGTACATAAGAAACCATGCAACTGGGGCATCCTAACAAACCTCCCCCCTCCCCACATCTTTCTTTTAGAAGGCTGTTCAATGAGCGGTGGAATTAGCCCGTGGCAAGTGAGGGTTTGAAACGGGGATGCCCGCACGGCGCTTAGATTGGGGCTTGGGTCTGGATAGTGTGTATCTGTGAGGTGGATATTAGTACTGGATTCCACTATGTAGATTCAAGGATTAAAAGAAACATACTTGGCAAATGCACGCGAGAGTGCCTTCTTGCAGCTGACCTTTTGACTGCCGATGAACGAATCCACAGTAACAGCAATGGCACGGTCAATGTCCAGTGAGGAGCAGTATTCTGACAAGCGCATTTTGCAGAAAGATTCGGCAATACGCATAATGGCTTCAAGGTGACGAACCTAGAAATTTCGAGTAAGAAAATTGTCAATGTATGGAAGGCGAAGAGATGACTTACTGTGATGGGGTACGCTCCAGTAGCAAGGGACTCGCGACGCATGTCTGCGAAGAGACGGGCAACCTTGTCCTGATCGATCTGGTAAAGTTTGGGGTGGCAACGCTCTCGGGCATACATAATATATTTCCGCAGGAGCTCTTGCGGGATCTCGCCCTCCTTCTCCTCCTCGGCTCTTTGTTTCTCAGCTGCACGTTTGGCGATCTCCTCTTGTGATGGGGGCAGTCTCTGGCCATCTCTGTTGATGCGGTACCCCTCGATGTCAATAAGATGGCCGTCGGTATCAACCAAGTCGCCCTTTTCGTTCCGGAGGGGACGGGCGGGGTTGGAACGGTGGTGTGACTCGATCACAAAATTGGCTAAGCGCTCATCCTCGACAGGGTCAACCAGATCACGCACCACACACAGAATATCGAAACGAGACAAGATAGGGTCCGTCAAGTCGACATTCTCTGAGAAGGGGATCGAGCTGTTGTACCGACCACCCTTTGGGTTAGCGGCGGACACGACAGCACAGCGAGCCTGCAATGTTGTCACAATACCAGCCTTTGAGATGGAAATGGTTTGCTGTTCCATGGCTTCATGAATAGATGTTCGATCCTGGTCGTTCATTTTGTCAAACTCATCGATAAGACAAACACCCCGATCAGCCAACACAAGCGCACCGCCTTCCAACGTCCATTCGCTCGTGAGAGGATCGCGGCGAACACTGGCCGTGAGACCGACGGCACTGGCACCCTGGCCAGTGGCAAACACGGCGCGGTGTGCCGTCTTCTCAACGAATTTGAGCACCTGAGACTTGGCGGTACCGGGGTCACCAAGAAGAAGAACGTTGATATCACCACGAATGTTCATCTTGCCCTGTGCCTGCTTGCTAACACCACCAAAAAGCGAAAGGGCAACAGCAGTCTTGACGTCCTGGTGGCCGTAAATACTGGGTGCCATAGAGCGAACAATCTTGTCCACAATATCAGGGTCACGGGAGAGGGCCCGAATTTCGCGCTCATCCTCTTCTGTCAGGTTGAAACCAGCCAGCTGGTCGTGTGCCTTGACCACATGGTTGGCCTCAATTACAGTGGCGAAAACTGGGAAGCCATTTTTGTTGTTCAGTTGAGCATCGTAGCTGTTGCGGTAGACGCCGGTAATCTCAATTTCATCACCGGGTTTGGCACTGTCGATCAGATCGGCAAGCAAAACGACTTCACGCTGCCGCGGTAGACGACCCGCGGGAACCGAGCCAGGCGACTCCTGCAAAGTCAACTTCTGGTAGTTGCGGTAGACAGTCTTTTCAGAATTGACAGTGAAGGGTCCACGCGACTGGCAGTTCTGACAGAACGAGATCTTTACTTCTGCACTAGCTTCTTGCTGGAACGGACCCAGGGTGATACCGCACTTCTGGCAGAGGAACATGACATACTTCAACTGCGGGAAGACACCAGTTCGACGAGTAACGACACCACCGACACGGATCAGGCAGTTGAGATGCGACTGACGCAGCTGGCGCAGGGTGTAAATGATCGGTACATCGGTGATACGGACGTGGATCTCGTTGTGAATATCGTGATACTGTGGGTAATGGAATAGAGTAACGTCGAGCGCAACCTGATCAAATACCTTCAGGACTTCGGTGGGCTCGTTAGCGAGGAAGTACGACAGAGCTGCCTTAGTCTCGCTGAGGTGGGCGTAGGACACTTCAAGTGAAGCGGAGTTCACCTCACCCAGTGTCTTGATTCGGTTACCGTAAACAGACTGACCGGTAGGATCGATGAACTCTGTCAGGAAGGCCTTGAATTCGCGATAGATGGAGCGAAGGACTTGGGGCTGGGTTACCCAGTCCGTAATGTTAGCTGCCTTTACGTCTGCCAGTTCCTCCAATGACAACTCTTCCATGCCCTCGTCGGCCATGTCAATATCTTCACGGTCTTCGTCGTAATGGTGTCTGCGTCGTCGGGGTTGGCGCGACAGGTCCAATTCCATATCGTCATCATCTTGTAAAAAGGCGGCAGGCATGCGACGCCGACGTGCTAGTTCACGATCTCTTTGGTTCAGGCGAGCATCCAACTGCCGACGAGTTGCGGTATCGATTTCATCATGGTCTTCGTCATCATCGATGTATCCTTCATTTTCATAGCGGTCTTGCGCTGCGTCGCGATAATCGCGCTCGAAGTTGTCGCCGAAAAGGTCAATACCATCCTCGTCTTCGGCCAATTCATCAATATCATCAATATCCTGCACAAGACCTCTATCCTCGTCCTCATCTTCATCTCCCATGTCGAAGGGGATCGGAGGAGGGGACGAGCCTAAAGCGGTAGCTGCACATGAAAATCGTCAGTCTCAAATCCATGCAACTTGGACAAAGAAGCAAACATACGACTGGAAGGAGGTAATGGTGCCGGGGAGGACATGTCATCTTCTCTGTCTCTCTTACGAGTGTTAGCCCTCGGGCCACGGTTAGCAGCCGAGTCGCTGGCTCGGAGCGGACTGTAGGTGCATTAGCTTTTTAAGTGCAGAAAATTCAGGAGTAACACTCACTCCATTGTGTGGATTTTTCAACTAGAAAATTTGAAAGGAAAAATAAAATGAGCAATGGCTAGAGATTATGAGTATGGATGAGTGGTGTGGATGTTTCGGAGGGGGTGGTTTTTTTTTTCTCGAATGTGTGGTAGCGTGGTTGATAGAGTGAATGAAGGGAGGGAGAAGGGGCGGCAAAGTTGAGTTGTGCAGTAAGTCGCGTGTTGGACGCGACGCGTTTCAATTAAGCCCCGATTGGGAAGGTGGGCCTCCACGTTCCTTAGATTCACACGTTCTCCTAGTTCCTTTTCTATATTTCACCATTGTTTAATTAAAAGTGTTTTGGGAATATGCTTACTCCGTTGGTAACAAAATAAAACAAAAATATAAGAATAAAAATAAAATCACAAAAGCAATCAATCATAAGATTATGAAATAAAAAATAATGATCGACGCAGGGATCGAACCTGCGACCTTCTGTGAAACTCCAACATATTTAATGTAAGACAGACGCCTTAACCACTTGGCCAGTCGATCTCAGGGCGAAGGAATGTCAACCAGGGCAATTTGTCAACAAAGGATTTCTGTACAGATTCGGCTGGTAAGGTAGTATGTACTCCCGATTTTAGCTGGGCATTCATAGCACAATTATGGATCTTGGGTTTGGCACTATACGTGGAATAAGGCAAGATCTAGGGTCCACAGTATTGAGGAATGACATCCAAGGTAAAAAGCATGTAGGCCGGCTCCTTGAAAGCACCCCATTCAATCAGTGGTTCTGACTTGCGCAAAAGAGCCAGGGTCATTATGATATTAAAGAGAACGACGCATGCACCTGACAGCCCATGGAAATACCGATTGCTTATTTATCTGATTATTAGATATAAAAATCGGGTGTGTCTGAACTCCACGGGTCGACTCAACGATTTTCGGGATACACAAACTGTTGCTCACTATTGAGTTCGAAAACCAAGCTCGTCTGCTTCCAAGTCAAACTCGACTGACATCATCAAGTCGACATTAGAGTAGGTCAGAAACTAAATAGATAGATGATTGAGGTTCTAGAATGGATTAAGTACAATAGTTATCTATCCTTGGCGCACCCAGGCAGCAAGACCTCGCTGGCTTTCCTGCTTGCATTGAGTCAGATCTCTCTCTTTGTCCACATAGAGCTATATAACTACAATATAAGAGCTCTATGGCAGCAGGTAGATCATTACACACATTTATTCTTGCCTCATCTCCTAGAGATGTAGGGTGTACGTCCATTAGTCCCCAACCTCAGGAATACGGCCGAGTCCTTTCTTTTCGGTCGTTACCTTCCAACGCCAGCCACATATTCCGATTTTATACGACCTGCATGTTTCGCTTGCAGCCCATGGATCATAGTGTATAATTGGAGGCACCAATTAGTGGGCCGATGTCGACCGTTGATATCGCTCTCTCCACTAGCACATATCAATGACCAGGATCGGCTTCATCTACATGTCTAGCGTCTACGAGTGCTTATTCGACTTTAGAGAAAACACATGAGGGGAATTGTATGTGGTAGAGGCGGAGGTTATCGTGTGACGGGCATCGTAGGCGATGTGGGGGGGGGGGGGGGGAAGTAATATGAAATAACTTGCAGGAATAAGGCAGCTCGCTTTTTCACAATATCCCTTTTGCTCGCTCTACTGCAACTATGATCGTACATTGAACTTATAGTTATTAATGATGGAGCTTCTAGGCCTCGAAAGGATGAGGTGATATGGGAAAAATACCTTGTGTATCTAGACCGCCATGCTGTGGTTGGCATCTGCCGGCAGAAACTTTGAGTAATGTCGCGACGCCAGTCACCACGTCGCGTCGTTTTCAACACATCACCTTGACACTCATGACTCTCAGGCCTTTTGTTAGTTGCCGCTTTCTACGACAAGGACACAGATAAAAACCTAACAATGGATGCCCCGCACTCGGTTGTTGCTCAGCTCACCGAGGATGCTCGTAGCGAGAGCATGGGCTCTCAGAATTCCCAGACCGCGAAAGAGTATGACGCATTCCCCTAATACTCCCCCCCCACATTAGGAAAGTGATCATATTAACTCAATCTAGGTTTATTGAGTCCCAGCTTCAGCTAGAGGCAGATGCGCGCGAGGCTCTTCCTTATGTGAGTGTCTCATTAACGTAGGTGGCGCGCGACTCGCTCCCTAGCTGACCTATTGAATTTAGGCCTTCGACTCTTGCACATATGATCTTGGACCATTGCGACAGGTCCTCTTTGCATGTCTTACCTGCAATCCTCCTCCTACTGACTCCAACGAATCCTATACCCCCGCGGCTGTCTGTTACTCGTGCTCGATCGCTTGTCACGGCGAGCACACACTAGTCGAGCTCTTCAACAAGCGCAACTTTATCTGTGATTGCGGAACCACCCGTTTACCATCATCATCATGCTGCACACTCCGCGAGGATCCCACAACCGGAAAGAAGGGTGTGCACTCCCAAGAGGCTGCGGCTAGTAACACATACAACCATAACTTTCGCAATCAGTTCTGTGGTTGTGGCGAACAGTACGATGCATCTTCAGAAAAGGGTACAATGTACCAGTGCCTGGGACTTGGCACCGTCGAGACCGGGGGCTGTGGCGAGGACTGGTGGCACCCGGAGTGTTTGATCGGCTTGTCGCGTGATTGGAATAAGGCTGCCCTCAAGGCCAATGGACTGGGTGGCGGTGATGCAACCAATGAGGCTTTAGTCGAGGATGAAGAAGATTTGCTCCCACCTGGGTTTCCCGCAGAGGATGATTTTGACCATCTGATTTGTTTCAAATGCATCGACTCTAACCCCTGGATCAAGCCCTATGCGGGCACCCCTGGATTCTTGCCGCCAGTTTTCCGGGAAGGTGGACTCAAGAAGGCCTCAAATGTGGCCGGGGGCCTCTCTGAACCAGCCGCTGAGCCCAAGGAGACCGAACCTAAGGATCAACAGAAGCCCGAACACTCAAAAAAGCGCAAGGCAGATGACGAGGGGCCCACCGAAGGAGAGCCTGTTACCAAGAGAAATAAAGAAGAGGAAGAAGAAGCTTCTGTCGAGGACCAGCCATCGAATGCCATGAAGGAAGAGGAGCGTACTAAGGAAGGAGTTGATACTCCTACAAAGCCCTCCGCCCCCAAGCATACCGAGCTTCCCAAGTCTAGCCCGATGGAATCTTTCTCTCTTTTTGCCTTGGATGATTTCCATAGTCAACTGTGTCGTTGCGTGGAGTGCTTCCCCAACCTTGTTCCTCACCCTCAGCTCCGCGAAGAGGAAGATACATATGAACCTCCCATGTCTGACGACGGCCAGACTAATGGTGCCGCAAGTGTTGGTACAGGCAGCATCTACGATCGCGGCGAGGCGGCACTAAACAACATGGATCGAGTACGCGCCATCGAGGGCGCAATGGCATACAATCACCTGCGTGACAAGTTGAAGGTGTTCCTGCAGCCTTTTGCTGAGAGTGGACAGGCTGTCAGTGCAGACGATATCAAGGGCTACTTTGAGGCGCTGCGTGGTGATGAGCAGGGCATCAAAGATGCCGCCAATCACGCTTCCACTGTGAGTGGTGACGGCAAAGATGACACTGACGGAGACAAGCGACACGAACAGAATAATGGTAAGTGACTACCAGCCATTTTTCTGATTTCTTGATAATAATCGCTGACTCTTTGCTTTGATGGCAGGGTACTGATTATCCCTTTACGCAACCCTTTTCATCTTTTCGGCGTTCTTATCATCGGCAGGCTTGGGGGTTTCGGAATGGTTCAACATGTACGATTGCGGATATGGGATTGGGAAATGGGAAATTCTAAGTATGAGTACAAATGGCGCATCCTATGCAATTGAAATGATCACTACATATCTAGTAGAGCTTGAATGACTCCTTCACTTTCACAATACAAAATACGTAAGGGTCTTGTAGTTTACAGGGCTGAATGGCCAAGACCAAATCTCACGCAAATTATCTTGATGCAACTTCGCTAGTTATTGTAACGCTAACACTGAATTAAATATATGATGTGGGTGGATACCATGGCCAGCCTGTCCACCCGCAAAACATGATCAACACAAATATGCAGCAAGCAAATGAAAAGATTATTCTTTAAGGCGTTTGGAAGCCCTCATCAACGAATCATCTTGCAGTCCACTTCGTTTGGTGCCAGGAAGACTGCCGGTGCGAATATCGTTGTCATCTTGGGTGACTCGACGGTGTGGGTATTTGCCCTCGATGCCCTCGAAGCAGTTGCCACTGATAGGGCCCCCGTTGGTAAAGTACGGGTGCTCAAGGGCTTGCTCGGCGGTGATCCGCTTTATTGGGTCATATTCAAGCATACGCGACAGAAGATCGAATCCATCTGTACCAGGAGTGCCGGCACTGGAGGTGGACGTGTATCCACCGTTTTTCAAACAGCTCTGGTACCAGCCTTCAAGATTAGAGCCGCGATGGAAATGTGAAGGTTGGCGGTGGAGCACCAGGGATTGGAGTTGGGAATATTCGGGCATAGAGGCTAGACCTGGCCAGGACTCTTTGCGGGGAAGACCGAGAATTTCGACGATTTTCATCATCTGGTTGCGTTGGAAGGGGACTGTTTTCTTGCTGTCCATTTTGGCTTCCTCGCCTTTGAAGATTGGCCGTAGCGAGAGTAGTTCGGCGAAGATGCATCCTATTGCCCACATATCGACGGCAGGAGTATAGTGTCGACTCCCCATGAGCAGCTCGGGTGCACGGTACCAGATTGTGACGACGACTTTGTCGCCGGAGAACAGGGAGTTGAGTGGCTTGTAAAACAGACGAGCTAGTCCCAAGTCGCCGATGCGAATAGCACCGCTTGAGGTGACGAGAATGTTGGCTGGTTTCAAATCACGATGCAGGACCCAGTTGGTATGAAGATAGAGCAGTCCATTCAACAACTGGAACATGATACAGCGGACCATGGGTGCGGGGATAGCATGTCGCTGAGGCTGGGTATGATGATGAATGATCTGGAGCAAATCATGCTCTGTATATTCAAATACCATGAAGATGCACTTGTCCTCCAGAATGATCTCTTCTAGTTGGACAACATTGGCATGTGAGAGTTCAGTGCACAATGCCATTTCACGGATGGCCGATTGTGACAAACCCGTGTACTGGATCGTTTCACCTTCCTTATCGGGCTTGAATCTGGGTGAGGTTAGAATGAAGAAGAAATCAAATGCTATAGGGCTTCTTACTTCTTGATTGCAAACTCCCCTTTCTTGCCATTTTTACCAACAGCCTTGTACACTCGGCCATAGGTACCGCTGCTGATGAAGCCTACTATATTATACCGATCTCGGACCCGGACTTTGCTGGTATAACCACCGGGTCTTCTTGATTCAATGGCATCTGTGTAAACCCCGGTTAGCATATTCCGTTTGCAAGCTTGAGAATCGAATGCGTTGGCGAGGATCCCTTCCAGTTGCAAACTCGCACCACAGAGACAAGATCATCACAGAGAATCAAAGGGAAAAAGTTACCACGAGAATAGAATCCTCCAGAATTCAAGAAAGGGAAACCTTTTCCAAACATGATGGAATAGAAAGAGACAAGGCGTTACACCAAGGAATCACGATTAATCAGACTCAAGGAAGATATATAATTACCATCGACAGTAGCCTGGAGACTCCGTTTCAAGTTACCGACTCTTGTTCGTGAGAGAGAGCCGGAGGAAGAGGGCGGGTTTGTCAGACTCATTTGTGGATCAGAAGGGGGTGATGTTGTCACTCCATTGGTGGAGAGATACCCTTCTCCACGATTACCAGTTCTTTCAATATAAAACAAGAGAAAGATTAGAAGAGAGATATTACATAGGCATTTGTCTGAATTATACGACGAGTTCACCTGGACAGCCCGGGGCCCGAGTCAACGCTTAGTCAGATCACATGCCGTGTAGCTTCAACTTCATGTAGCTTCAACTTCATGTAGCTTCACTTCTTTAGCTCTTCAACTATTTAAGTCATCTCTGAATCGTGAGGACTCTATCTGCTAAATTTAATGTGACTTTTGACTACCTAGGCAGACCTTTCTCGTCTTACCAACTTGACCTCAGATCATCTTATCTCTACCACAATCGGCAAACGTCATATTAAGCTCCAGCCCCTCTTAACGTACCTTCAACCTGTCCGGGGGTCTTCGATCTACCCAGAATTTGTCTCACGATGGTTTTGGGCACATCGGGCCGGTCGAGGGTTACCCCGTACCTGATATATCTCGTGTTTGTTGTTACGCTTGGTCCACTTCAATTTGGCTTCCACCTGGTACGATATCCATCCATATTTACTAAACATTACTGATACGTGGATTACTCAGGCAGAGCTCAATGCCCCCAAAGACGTGATAACATGCGAACGTAAAGGACTTCATTCTTCGGATATCAATTTCCATGGTCTACCGCAATGCTTCCCTATGACCCCATCGCAATTCGGCCTCGTCTCTTCGATCTACACCTTAGGTGGCTTGCTTGGAGCCCTGCTGGCAGGACCCATCGCGACCAAATACGGACGCCTTCTTGCATTACGAGCGACCACGGTGTTTTTTATTCTAGGGCCTGTGGCAGAGACACTTGCGCCCGTGATTCCCATCTTGAGTCTTGGTAGATTCCTCTCTGGAATTGGCTCTGGTGCTGCAATCGTAGTTGGTCCTATCTACGTTTCGGAAGTTGCTCCTCCCAGTGCTCGTGGTCTCTTCGGTGCCTTCACCCAGATTATGACCAATGTTGGTATTCTGTTGACACAATCTCTGGGATACTTCTGGAGCGATGCAAGCTTCTGGAGACTCATACTAGCTGTGGCCGGAATTATCGGGGCCCTGGAGCTTTTGGGACTGTTTCTGGTACCAGAAAGTCCTGCATGGCTTGCAGAACATCAAAAGACCAGTCAGGCACGCCGGGTCCTGCAGCGCATCCGCGGTCCAGATGCCGACATTGAAGCGGAGATTGCGAGCTGGAGGACCTCAGACGCCCCTGCATCTGGCGAGGAAGAATCCTTGCTGTCTTCCTCTCCCGGCGACACCCCGCCTCAGAAGCATATAGTCACGTTTATGGATGTTGTCAAAGATCCCTACTATCGCCCCGCTATTATTGCCGTGGTTGGTGTGATGGTTGCCCAGCAACTCACCGGAATGAACAGCATTGTTATGTACAGCGTGTCTTTACTACAAAGCATCTTACCAACGACTGCTGCATTACTCACGGTGATGATATCTATCATTAATCTCGTGGTCACGTTGGCGTGCTCTCCACTGCCCGATCGCATTGGCCGAAAAACGTGCCTAATGTTGAGCATCTGCGGCATGGGCTGCAGTTCTATACTTCTCGCGATAAGTATCTACATGAACGCTAAGGTATTGACGGCTATCGCTGCCTTACTTTTTGTGGCATGTTTTGCGATCGGACTGGGCCCGGTCCCCTTCATCCTCGCGTCCGAGCTTGTTGGGCCCGAGGCTGTCGGTGCGGCACAGAGCTGGGCGCTGGGCGCCAACTGGATTGCAACCTTTATGGTGGCACAATTCTTCCCAGTACTCGATGATGCTCTCGGTGGTCGTGGAAAGGTATACTGGGTGTTTGCGGCTATGGCTGGGTTGTTTGGTGGCTTCATCTATCGATATGTGCCGGAGACCAAGGGCAAAGCTCATGCGGACGAGGTTTGGGGACGCACAGACCGACGACAAGACTGATTTTATCTCCTTTTTCTACATTGTAGACAGCCCTGGAGGTCTCCGAATTCCATAGCATTCCATAGCATTTCATAGCATTTTATAGCATTTCATAGCGTTTCTATAATTCCTAGATTATCGTACAATATACTATCTGGAGTACATAGTAGGACTCAATATTTGTATAGGATGCGGGGTACTGCATATCTTTTGCATGCCTTACATTGCATACATATTCTTTTTATTTTTAACAAAAAAACAAAGAGATACATGTTCAGGGATCTCCAAGTACACAATAGGCATCCATTTTTCACTTAATAACTTGCGGTGTGGAGAGTCTTGACGTCCCCTATTGCCCCCAATTGTGTTTCTTCCACTTTTCCCCTCTACGTTTCTCTACATTTCTGTTGAGATCTTTATTTATCTTTCGACACAAATGTGTATGTGACTAAATCCCTGTTTTGAAAACGAAAGAGAAACTTGGAAATTACAGTGGATAAGGTCATTTCTTGGCCTGCGATCGACCCGAAGAGACACCCAGCGGATATCGTCGATCAACTCTGGGGTCTCTCTTAAACGTCAATTGTGTTGACTAGGGGGCAAGCCACCCCTCCCAACACTTTTTTTTAACCCGCTTTCTTTCTTCTTTTTTTCCTCTCTTCTCATTTTTGTGTCCCATCCCGCAATGGTCCGGTTGGCACTACCCCAACGCTTAAGCTCGCACCTGTCCGCCAGGAGCGCGTCGTCGACTCCCGGCCAGAGCAGGAGCACCAGTCCTTTGCGATCGTCGGAAACCAAACCTCTGCTGCTCAAAGTCTCAGTAATCCGGGTAAGTACTGAAAAAAAGGAATTGTGTAACCTTTTCTGTTTTTATGGACTTCCTGGCTGATTCGAATGGTTTCATTAGGGACGCAATCTCGCAGCCAAAGATCGAGGTGGCACGAGCGACCCAGTGAGCACCCCTCCAACAAAGACAATTCAAACCGAGGCCGCTTACATGTTATACAGTATTTGGTGGTTACATTAGGAGATGCGAGGCAATCAACACCAACCATATTCAAGACCCTGAACCCGGAATGGAACGTCTCGTTCGATATGCCCGTAGTGGGGGTACCGCTGTTGGAGGCTATCTGCTGGGACCATGACCGCTTCGGCAAGGATTACTTGGGTGAGTTTGATATTGCTTTGGAGGACATCTTCGCCGATGGCCAGGTGAATCAACAGGTGGGTGGAGGGACACGTTGCTCGGTCAATTGGGGGCTCGTGCTGACTTGATTCTCAGCCCAAATGGTACACTCTGAATTCCAAGCGGAAGACATCCAAAAGGAAGGACAGCACTGTATCCGGCGAGATCCTGCTGCAGTTCTCGCTCGCCGATTCTGCGAACCCCGCTGCCACGCCGCCGGACATATACCGCAAGTTCAAGAAATTGGTATACTCGGGCGATGAGGATGATCAGATCCCCCCCGCTGATTTCGAGGACTTGGAACGGGACGATGAGACCTCCGATGAGCCTGATGACCCGGCAGGTGGTCCAGAAGTGGGGGAAAAGCGCCGTCGGCGACTTCGGCTGGCTCGCTTGAGACGCAAGTCCCTGGCAGCTCGTGCATACCAATTCTCAGGCGCGGGGACTGGAGTTCATGGCATTGTTTTCATGGAAATTGTTCGGGTGACCGATCTGCCCCCTGAACGAAATGGTATGGATTATCCTCGTGCATGCAAAACGCCAGATGTTAATTATGCTATAGTAACGCGGACATCGTTCGACATGGATCCTTTTGTCGTGACCTCTCTCGGAAGGAAGACCTTGAGAACTCCTGTCATCCGCCATAACCTGAACCCGGTGTATCATGAAAAAATGGTGTTCCAGGTGATGCGGCACGAACAGTCTTATACCATCAGCTTCAGTGTGATAGATCGAGACAAGTTCTCGGGGAATGACTTTGTTGCTTCAGCGGGGTTCCCTCTGCAGAATCTTGTTCAATCCGGCCCAGAAGCAGACCCTGAGACAGGATTGTATCAGTTTGTAGAGGATTTGGAGGAAGCTGACCCCACTACAGCTGCCAAGCTTGGTACGCGTTCTGGAGTTAGCCCTTCGAGATCTGGAATCAGTCCCTCGAACTCTTCATCAAGTCTCTCCAGAATGGCTCGGCCTATATTAAGGACGCGTCACTCCGCCACTGCGGCCTCAAGCCAATCAATGCTCGAAGCGCCAGTACCGACTCTCCTTGCACCCTCTTCCCTCCCAGATGAAGGAATTCCAGAAATGGCTAGTTCTAGCTCATTACAGCTGGCCTCCACACTGAATATGTATGATGGCGAGTCAGCCCCGCCACCTGACAAGGAAGGCTTCAGATCTTATACTATACCCCTCATGCTCAAGAATAGAGAACGGTGGGAAGACAAGCATTCGCCAGAGCTGCATGTCAAGGCAAAGTACCTGCCATACAGTGCTCTCCGACAGCAGTTCTGGAGGTTGATGCTTAAGCAATATGACGCTGACGATAGTGGTCGCATTGACAAGGTGGAGATGACGACAATGCTTGACACTCTCGGTTCGACGCTAAAGGAGTCGACAATCGACAGCTTCTTCGAACGCTTCAGCGCAGAGAACGAGTCCAATGAAACTGATGACCTGACATTCGACCAGGCGGTGTTTTGTCTGGAGGACACGCTTCAAACCCTACAGAAGAGAAATTCAATAGCTGCTCCCAGGGCGCCTTCGCTTCCTCTGTCAAATGCTGGAAGCCAAGATAGTGAGCCATCTAGCAGCGACGAGCATATTTTGGAAACCAACATCACTGCTTCTTCCAACAGCAATCCCCAGAAAACTTCTATTCCAACCCTGTCCAGTGAGGATCAATCTAGCTCCGCTGACGAGTACCTCCAGCCCGATGATCTCGCAGATGAAAGGGGCGAGGAGCATGTCATCGAAATTCGCGAGTGCCCACTTTGCCACCAGCCACGTCTTGCGAAACGCTCTGATGCGGATATTATCACGCACATTGCTACGTGTGCGAGTCAAGACTGGCGCCAGGTTGATAACTTAGTAATGGGTGGCTTTGTGACTTCCAGCCAGGCACAGCGCAAGTGGTACTCCAAAGTTATCACAAAAATCTCATATGGTGGATACAAACTCGGAGCGAACTCGGCCAATATCCTTGTTCAGGATCGCATCACAGGTCAGATCAACGAGGAACGCATGAGTGTCTATGTACGACTAGGAATCCGGCTGCTGTATAAGGGCATTAAAAGCCGTGATATGGAAAAGAAGCGAAGTATGCAACCTTTAAACCCAACTGTATCTGTCCGACGAAACGATCTATTCGCTAACACATTCTACCAGTCCGCCGTGTGCTGCGCTCTTTGAGTGTCAAACAGGGTCGCAAATATGACGACCCAGCCTCGGCATCTCAGATCAAGGACTTCATCAATTTCCACCAGCTGGACATGTCCGAAGTCCTGATGCCCCTGGAGAAGTTCCGGACTTTCAATGAATTCTTCTATCGTGCACTCAAGCCTGACGCCCGTCCGTGTTCAGCCCCCGATGAGCCTAAGATTGTTGTGTCTCCCGCCGACTGTCGCTCAGTGGCATTTGACCGCTTGAGCGATGCAACCAGCATCTGGGTCAAGGGTCGTGAGTTCTCAGTTGAACGATTGTTGGGCAATGCTTACCCAGAGGATGCTGCTCGATACCGAAATGGTAGTGTCGGCGTGTTCCGTCTGGCCCCTCAAGATTACCACCGCTTCCACATCCCCGTAGATGGAATCATGGGTGAACCCAAGACCATCGAAGGCGAGTACTATACGGTGAATCCCATGGCGATCCGGTCTGCCTTGGACGTCTACGGTGAAAATGTCCGCATTCTCGTCCCCATTGATTCTGTTGAGCATGGCCGAGTTATGGTTGTTTGTGTTGGTGCCATGATGGTCGGCAGCACGGTCATCACCCGGAAAGCCGGCGAGAAAGTTTCACGGGCTGAGGAGCTAGGATATTTCAAATTCGGTGGTAGCACCCTTTTACTGCTCTTTGAAGAGGGCAAGGTCAATTTTGACAGGGATCTGGCGGACAACTCCAAAGGTGCTCTTGAGACTTTGGTAAGAGACGAACCTTTTTTTTCTTTTTCCCTACTTGATCAATTGCAAGCTAACACTCCTTTCTCATTTAGATCCGAGTCGGCATGTCGGTCGGACACAGCCCAGATATTCCTCAGTATGAACCTGATATGCCCAAGAAGGCGGAGAATATCACTGTCGAGGAGATGCAAGAAGCCAAACGGCGCATCGAAGGTAGCCTGGCACCACCAAGCAAGGCCTCCACCTTACTCAAGTCGGTCCAATGATCCGTCTTTTTTTTTCACTCTGGAGTGGATAGGGCTCAACTCCCACTACTCTTTCTCACTGAACATATTGTTTTTCAACATTGGTGTTGGGGGTTATTTTTGTATTCTGGTGAAAACATCATAGCGTTTATCTAACAGCATTTGCGCATTGCGAGGATTGGGGGGTAGAAGAGATAAGAGAGTACTGAATTTTAGAGCTAGCCATACATTAACAGCGCTTCAATATTTTCCAATCAAAGTAGCAAAAGCAGTAAAAGCAACTTTGAAGTATAACCGGCGATCTCAAAATAGACTAGCGCGGTCCCCACGCGCCCGACCAAAACAACCGCGTGCGAGAATCTAACCCACCATTCACACCCCAACTTGCTGCTCCCTTGCGTGTCTTTTTCGCGATTGAGTTAAATAAGTCGCCTATTCTACTGCTCTTTATTTGCAATCTTAAATTGGGACGCGACCCGCGCCTAACACTCCGCGGAGCCGACTGACCCAACCACAACGCAACCGTACCACCAAACCTACACACACGTCAAGCACCCATTGAACAACAGAGCGTCAGGTTTGGAAATACCGAATCAAGCTGGATCGGCTGTCTAAAGGGAATTAATACGAGTCCGGCATTCATAAGCACACGAGAGTCGCGCTTGCTGTTTCTCCAGGAAGCCTCTTTAACCAGGAGTA